CGTCTCGGTCTGGTCCTGAGTCTGCCCCCTGCTCGTGTCGCCTCCTGTCCCACCAGACTCTTCTCTGGCACCACCACCTTGGTCACCCCTCCCTGCCTCGTCTCCGAGGCATGGCCTCCTTGTCCTTGTCTCTAGTCTCCCCCGGTCTCTCCCTCCCCTTCCTCCGGGGCCTGCCCCTACCTGCGTTCCCTGCGTCGAGGGGCGGCAGCGCGCCGCTCCTTACTCCTCCGAGTTTCCGCCGACAGAGGCTCCGCTGCAGACTCTTCACATGGACGTGTGGGGCCCAGCCCGCGTCCGTGGCCAGGGTCAGGAGCGTTACTTCCTACTGGTGGTTGACGACTACTCGCGTTACACCACGGTCTTCCCCTTGCACAGCAAGGGTGAGGTCACTGAGGTGTTGATCGACTGGATCCGCGCTGCTCGTCTCCAGCTCAGGCAGAGTTTCCGCTCTGACTTTCCTGTTCTGCGTCTGCACTCCGACAGAGGTGGAGAGTTTTCCTCCGACCTTCTGCGAGCCTTCTGTTGTGCTAGGGGCATCCGCCAGACGTTCACGCTTCCGGCCTCTCCACAGCAAAATGGGATTGTTGAGCGACGCATTGGCATGGTCATGGACGTCGCTCGTACGTCCATGATCCATGCGGCTGCTCCCCATTTTCTGTGGTCGTTTGCGGTCCGGTACGCCGCGCATCAGCTCAACCTTCAGCCCAGGGTCTCCATGCCGGAGACCTCCCCCACTCTGCGGTGGACGGGGAAGGTTGGCGATGCGTCTGCGTTCCGTGTCTGGGGATCTCGAGCTTTTATCCGCGACTTGTCTGCGGACAAGTTGTCCTCCCGTGCTGTTCCCTGCGTCTTCCTTGGCTTCCCCCCTGACGCGCCTGGTTGGCAGTTTTACCACCCCACCTCGCGCCGTGTTCTGTCCTCCCAGGACGTCACGTTTGACGAGTCGGTTCCGTACTACCGTCTCTTCCCCTACCGCGCTGCCCCCCTCCCCCCCCCGCCGCTCTTCCTCGCTCCAGGTCCCCTCCCTGTAGACCCCCTCCCCCCTCAGGGTCCTGCCCCCTCAGGTGTGTCCCAGGTAGACGCAGTCGAGCCTGTCGAGGTAGCTGTCGAATCTGGTGCTGCTAGGAGTGCTGAGCCTGCGGGTGCCGGGTCTGGGGGTGCGGAGCCTGAGCGTGAGGTGCCTGGGGGTGCGGAGCCTGGGCGTGCGGAGCCTGGAGGTGCTGAGTCTGGGGGTGCGGAGTCTGGGGGTGCTGAGCCTGCGCGTGAGGAGACTGGAGGTCCTGCGCCTGTGTGTGCGGAGTCTGGGGGTGCTGAGTCTGGAGGTGAGACGCCTGAGGGTACTGGGACTGCTGGTGCGCAATCTCCTTGGAGTAGCCGCCTTCGTCCGCGTGTGCCTCTCACCTCACAGCAGCTGCACGACTGGTACGGTCGCCGTCAGGGTCGCGCTGCTGGAGCTCGGGGCTCTGCTGCTGGAGGTACTTCTGCTGACGTCCCTGGAGCTAGGAGTGGTGCTGGTACTTTGTCTACTGGAGGTGCTGGAGTCGCTGGTCCCGGAGGTGCTCGTACTGGAGGTACTGGAGCTGCTGGGGCTGGGGGTGCTGCGTCTAGGGGTACCGCTGCTGGAGGCACTGAGGCTGGAGACCCTGGGACTGGAGGTACTGCGTCTGGGGGTGCCGCTGCTGGAGACACTGAGGCTGGAGACCCTGGGACTGGAGGTGCTGGTTCTGGGGGTGCTGCTGCTGGAGACACTAAGGCTGGAGACCCTGGGACTGGAGGTGCCGGTTCTGGGGCTGGAGCTTCTGGAGCTGCTGGAGGTGCTGGAGCTGCTGGGGCTGGTGCAGCTGCGCCAACACGACTGTTCTTCGCTCCGCCGTCTCCGTCGTCTCTGCCGCCGCCTGACTCTGTTCTTCGTCAGGTTCTTACTCTCCCGTCGTCTACTGGTCTTCCGTTACAGCCTGGCTCACCGCTGCCTGCTCCTTCTCCTTACACTGAGCAGACAGGTAGTCTTGCTGAGCGTCGTGAGCCTGCGTCGCGTCCTGTCTCGCCTGTTCGTTCTGGTCGTACCGGTCGTCGTGTTCCTCGTTCGCGTCAGCCAACTGTCCCCAGCGCACACCTCGTAGTCCGTCATCCTTCCTCTGCTCCGCAGCCTGTTCCTCTGCCGTCTCCCCCTGCGTCCTCTCTGCCTGCCGTTCCGGACCCTGACGGGTTTCGTGCTGAGCACCCTACTGTCACGCGTCTGTTAGCCACTGTTGTCACTGACCCGTCCTTTGAGTCTACTGCTGCGTCTGCCTTGGTTGCTGAGCTTGTTGACTTTGCTGCTGCCTGTCGTCTAGACTATGCCGCTAGTCTCGTTGCTGAGTCTGAGTCTGTCTGTCCTCCGTCCGTCGGGGTGAGTGTGCTCTTAGCACGGACGTTCTTGAGGACAGGCAGGAGGAGTTCCAGTGTTTTGCTGCTGCTTTACCTCATCTCGTGTCCATGCTGGTTGCCCCTGAGGGAGACCCGGATGCACCAGACATCCCGACTCCGCGCTCTTACGCAGAGGCGATAGAGGGTCCCTACTCCTCTCAGTGGCAGTCAGCCATGGACGCAGAGATGGCTTCCTGGAAGTCCACAGGCACCTACGTCAACGAGGTTCCCCCACCTGGGGCGAACATCGTCGATGGCATGTGGATTTTCAAGGTGAAGCGGCCGCCGGGTTCTCCGCCTGTCTTCAAGGCGCGTTACGTGGCTCGAGGCTTCAGTCAGCGGCAGGGAGTTGACTACTTTCAATCCTTCTCTCCCACCCCGAAGATGACCACTCTTCGGGTGCTGCTGCATATAGCCGCTCAGCGCGACTACGAGCTTCACTCTCTTGACTTCAGCACAGCTTTTCTACAGGGCAGCCTGCACGAGGAGATCTGGCTGCGCCGCCCACCTGGCTTCACTGGGTCGTTTCCTCCTGGTACCCAGTGGAGCCTTCGGCGGCCAGTCTACGGTCTCCGCCAGGCTCCTCGTGAGTGGCACGACACACTGAGGACTACACTTGCGGCTCTTGGGTTTGCTCCTTCTACTGCCGACCCGTCGCTGTTTCTACGCACCGACACCTCTTTGCCGCCGTTCTACATCCTCGTGTACGTCGACGACTTGGTCTTTGCTACAGCTGACACTGCTGGACTCGCCCACGTGAAGTCGGAGCTGCAGAAGAGACACACGTGCACAGACCTGGGTGAACTGCGCAGCTACCTCGGCTTGCAGATCACCCGGGATAGAGCACGGCGCACCATCACCCTGACTCAGTCACACATGATGCAGCAGGTCCTTCAGCGCTTCGGCTTCACGTACTCCTCGCCTCAGGCCACTCCTCTGTCTACTCGCCACTCGCTCTCAGCTCTGCCTTCGGATGAGTCCGTAGAGCCGAGTGGCCCGTACCCAGAGCTTGTTGGCTGCCTCATGTACCTGATGACCTGCACTCGACCTGACCTTGCATACCCTCTTAGCATCTTGGCACGCTATGTTGCTCCTGGGAGACACCGACCAGAGCACATGGCTGCAGCGAAGAGGGTGTTGTGCTACTTGTGCAGTACGTCGGGCATGGGGCTTGTGCTTGGAGGGCGGAGTTCAGTGGTCCTCACTGGTCACGCAGACGCGTCTTGGGTCGACGACCTGGCTACGCAGCGGTCGTCACAGGGTTACACCTTCAGCCTTGGTTCCGGCTCTGTTTCGTGGCGGTCTACCCGCTCGTCGTCTGTTCTCAGCTCCAGCTGTGAGGCTGAGATCTACGCAGGGGCCATGGCTGCACAGGAGTTACGCTGGCTCACCTACCTGCTGACTGACCTGGGAGAGCCGCCTCGTTCTCCTCCAGTTCTATACGTAGACAACAAGGCCATGCTGGCCTTGTGTCGGGAGCACAGACTGGAGCACAGAACGAAGCACATTGCTCTTCGCTACTTCCTTGCTCGTGAGCTGCAGCAGCGTGGTCAGCTGCGCCTTGCTTACGTGGCCTCTCGGGCCAACACTGCTGATATCTTTACCAAGGCACTTCAGCCTTGTGATCATCAGCGCTTTTGTACGATGCTAGGTCTTGTGCCTACTTGGCCTCACTTGCTCACTTCTTGACCTTGCTTGTACTGTGATCTATATATATGCCTGCGCTTGCTTGTTTACCTTTATATATGATCTTGCATGTGAACTGGCCTTGTGGCCTTGAACTTGTGCTCGGAATGTGTGGTGACGTTGTGATCCACCCTGAGCTTGCTTTGCTTGACTGGTCTTGTGACCTCTAGTTCTCCCCCACTTTGCCTATGGGGGTGTGTCAGAATGCTATATATGACTTAGTCTTTGTAGGCTCTAGTGGGGTAGACACTAAGGGGTACAGGTTTCTAAGGTTTCACATTTGTATCCAACACTTTCCTAGTTCAATCATTCCTCATTCTTCACAAATCCTATGTCGCAAAGCTGGATTTATAACTCAAAGACAAGAGTGATTCCTGACTAACCTGTTCGTGTGCACGTTTGTTTCAACTTTTCTGTATCAAGAACTGTTTTAGCACGCTGTTTTCTCTCAACCAAACTGCACCACTCGTTTCTCATCAGTCAAACAACACCTCTCCAGCATCTGGAATCACTCGCGTCGCGCCTAATAGCCACCCGCATACCACAAGCGGCAGGTTGCTTTTATCGCCTGCTCGTTACTGTCCTGTCCCCTCCGAGTCGCGCGACCCCAGTCGACAGCCATATCCAGCGCTCGCATGTCAGCGCGTTCGCACTTCTCTTGAGATAGGTCGCGCATGGGTTTGCTGCGGCAGTCACGATCGCTGGAAATGTATTTTCGAAGCAAGATGTCGGCCTCAATGCAAGACGGAAGGGTCAGCAGAAGCGGCGGCTTTTGCGCCTCCCGCATGCGCTCGTACGCTCCGCCGCCGCCATGAGGATAGATTTCAGAGACGGATAGACGCTGGAATGTACATTGCTAGACGGCTAGACACTTTTAGCGGGATCGGGATCGAATCGCGGATCGCGCTGATATGAGGTCCCCGGAAATACCACAGGCAGCAGCGGTGCTACACGAGCAGCGGTGCTACACGAGCAGAGCTACTCGAGCCGATCTGCCGCGTCTGGTAATACCCCTCCGGACGATCCCGACAGGAACTCCCCGTCTGAATCTACGACTTACGAATGTGACGATAAGAGAATCGTTCCGTTAGATTCTTCAACTTCTCATTTCTCTCGATGTCGAGTTTTGCTCTTATGAAGTCACGATCGATCGAGAGGTACTTTCGAAGCAAGCATGTTCTGCGTTTTCACTGGGACGTGGAGGATCTGCAACATTGCTATCTTGAATGGGAGTAGCAGCTGGTGAAACACGGGTGCAACCTTGTTCTGTAACGTTGCTGTCTCCAGAAGCTTGAAACACCAGCATCTCAGAAGCTGATACGTTTAGATGTTGTAAGTTGTGACAATGGGCAATCGATTGAGCTCCAAGCTAAGCGAAGTGTACCCCTGAAGGGTCTCCACGCAATGGATTCGCAGAGGCCAGTTACCTATTCGAGCCATTGTGCCGCGTCTGAGAATACCGCTGCAGAAAATATCATCTGAAACGATCCATGTCATCCCAGGAGTGCGTTTCAAGGGAAAAAAAAAAAAAAAAATCGTTCCGTTCCTACCGATTTTGACAAGAACCCCTGTCACTCACTTCGCTCCTCTCTCCTTACTGCCGTCTCGCAGTTGACAGTGCTGGCAGCAGCAGGAGAGATCGAATCCCGGAGCTGAGTCAACGGAAACCTAGCAACCGGGAATCAAATCTGGAGTCACATGAGGGAAGCCCTGACTCGCCTCGGCTCCATTCCTGTTGATGGGTTTCAGGTGAGTTTCAGGTGTGTTGTGATGAGCTTCAGGTGATTTTTCCAAGAGCTCAAGGTATGTACTGATGCGCTTTAGATGTGTTTTGATGAGATTCATGTGTGTTTTTCATAATCTCAGTAGCATGCTCTACAATAATGCGTCTTTCATAGCACAGGAATAACATTTATACGGAATGGAGCTTAGACTGTATTTCTTCTTCTTCTACCTCACAGTTTCGGCCTTATAGTAAAACATTTACTCGCTCCCCTAAATTCCGTTTGCATTCTCCTCAGAGCGTCACCTGCTGGTTTTCTGAGGAATATTGCAAAATAAAACCTCTCTCCCTCTCAGAGCGGCACCTGCCGGTTTTTGACAAATCTCAGAACCCAAACCTTTCTCCTTATCCAGGCAGTGACGGTGCCATTGAAGCCTCTCTGCAGGGAGGACACGCTCACGACGCAGGACGTGCTACGGCCCCCTCCCCCCTCCCCCCCCCCTCTTCCCCGCTGCCCCTCCCTCCCGACCCTCCCCCACCCCCCACACAGTTCGCTCCCCTGTGTTGAAACAATTAACAGAGATGAAAGGACTAGAAAGAAGTTGGGTACAAATATGAAACCCTAAAGGGGCTATACCCCATATTGGCTACCCCACTACAGCTTACACACATATATTACATATAATTTGACACACCCCCATAGGCAAAGTGGGGGAGAGCAAGGGGTCACAAGACCAGTCAAGCAAGGCAAAGCAAGCTCCGGGTGGATCACAACGTCACCACACACACCGAGCACAAGCAAAGGGCCACAAGGCCAGTCCACATGCAGAGGTATATATGCAACAGGAACAGCACAGTGATCACCACCTAGCAAGAGCAAGCATGCAGGTACATGTATATAGATCACAGTACAAGCAAAGCCTACAGCAAGTGTGGAAACGTAGGTACAAGGCCTAACAAGGTACAGAAGCGCTGATGATCACCAGACGGAAGTGCCTTAGTGAATATATCAGCAGTGTTGGCCCGAGTGGCCACGTGAGCAAGACGAAGCTGACCTCGCTGCTGCAACTCTCGAGCCAAGAAGTAACGCAGAGCGATGTGCTTCGTTCTGTGCTCTAGTCTGTGCTCCTGACACAAGGCAATGGCGGCCTTGTTGTCAACGTACAGCACTGGAGGAGAACGAGGCCACTCTCCCAAGTCAGTCAGCAGGTAGGTGAGCCAGCGTACCTCCTGTGCAGCCATGGCTGTGGCGTAGATCTCAGCCTCACAACTGGAGCTGAGAACAGAAGACGAGCGTGTAGACCGCCAAGAAACAGAGCCAGAGCCAAGACTGAAGGTGTAACCCTGTGACGACCGCTGCGTAGCCTGGTCGTCAACCCAAGACGCGTCAGAGTGTCCAGTGAGGACAACGTCACCCCGTCCTCCAAGCACGAGCCCCATGCCTGATGTACTGCACAGGTAGCGCAGTACCCTCTTCGCAGCTTCCCAGTGCACCTTTCGGTGCCTACCAGGAGCCACGTAGCGAGCCAGAAGGCCAAGAGGGTACGCAAGGTCAGGTCGAGTGCAGGTCATCAGATACATGAGGCAGCCCACTAGCTCTGGGTAAGGACCACTCGGCTCTACGGACTCGTCCGAAGGTGGAGCTGAGAGCGAGTGACCTATAGCCAGAGGAGTGGACTGTGGGGAGGACCAAGTGAAGCCGAAGCGCTGAAGGACCTGCTGCACCATGTGTGACTGAGTCAGTGTGATGGTGCGGCGTGCTCTGTCCCGGATGATCTGCAAGCCAAGGTAGTTGCGCAGCTCACCCAGGTCTGTGCACGTGTGTCTCTTCTACAGCTCCGACTTCACCAGGGCGAGAGCCTAAGTGTCAGCAGTGGCAAAGACCAAGTCGTCGACGTACACGAGGATGTAGAACGGCGGCAGCGAAGTGTCAGTGCGCAGAAACAGCGACGGGTCAGCAGTCGAAGGAGCAAACCCAAGAGCCGCAAGTGTCGTCCTTAGTGTGTCGTGCCACTCACGAGGAGCCTGACGGAGACCGTAGACTGGCCGCCGGAGGCTCCACTGGGTGCCAGGAGGGAACGACCCAGTGAAGCCAGGTGGGCGGCGTAGCCAGATCTCCTCGTGCAGGCTGCCCTGAAAGAAGGCTGTGCTGAAGTCAAGAGAGTGAAGCTCGTAGTCACGCTGAGCGGCAACGTGCAGCAGCACTCGAAGAGTGGTCATCTTCGGGGTGGGGGAGAAGGTCTGGAAGAAGTCAACTCCCTCCCGCTGACTGAAGCCTCGAGCAACGTAGCGAGCCTTGAAGACAGGCGGAGAACCCGGCGGCCGCTTCACCCTGAAAATCCACATGCCATCGACGATGTTCGCCCAAGGAGGGGGAACCTCATCGACGTAAGTGCCTGTGGACTTCCATGATGCCATCTCTGCGTCCATGGCTGCCTGCCACTGAGAGGAGTACTCACCCGCGATCGCCTCAGCGTAAGAGCGCGGGGTCGGGATGTCTACAGCATCCGGGTCTCCCTCAGGGGCAAGCAGCGTGGCCACGAGATGAGGCGCAGCGGCTGCAAGACACTCAAGGTCCTCGTGCCTGTCCTCAAGGACGTCCGTGCCAAGAGCACACTCACCCCCGACGGACGGAGGACAGACAGACTCAGACTCAGCAACAAGGCTAGCAGCGTAGTCTAGACGACAGGCATCAGCAAAGTCAACAAGCTCAGCGACTAAGGCAGACGCAGCAGCAGACTCAAACGACGGGTCAGTGACAACAGTGGCTAGCAGACGCGTGACTGTAGGGTGCTCAGCACGAAACCGGTATGACTCTGGGTCCGGGACGTCAGGCAAAGAAGACGCAGGAGGAGACGGCAGAGGAACACGCTGTGGAACAGAGGAAGGACGAAGTGCCATAATGTGCGTGCCAGGGACAGGAGGAGGACGCTCACGACTAACACGACCAGTGCGACCAGTGCGACCAGTGCGAACAGGCGAGACAGGACGGGACGCAGGCTCGCGACGCTCAGCAGGACCTCCTGTCTGCTCAGTCTAAAAAGAGGGAGCAGGCAGGGGGGAGCCAGGCGGTAACGGGAGGCCAGTGGAAGACGGCAGGCTAAGAACCTGGCGAAGCACTGTGTCAGGAGGCGGCAGAGACGACGGTGACGGCGGAGAGAAGAACAGTCGCTGCGCAGCAGTGCCACCAGCACCAGTAGCTCCAGTGCCTCCAGCAGCTCCAGAACCTCCAGCAGCTCCAGACCCTCCAGCTCCAGCTCCTCGAGCGCCAGCACCACTAGCAGCCGCAGAGCCTCCAGCGCCAGCACCGCCAGTACCAGCGTCACCAGCAGCAGCACCCCCAGAACCGGCAACTCCAGTCCCAGTGTCTCCAGCAGCAGCACCCCCAGACGCACTACCTCCAGCCCCAGCAGCTCTAGTACCTCCAGTACGAGCACCTCCAGGTCTAGCGGCTCCAGCACCTCCAGCACAGAAAGTACCCGCAGTACTCCCAGCTCCAGTGTCAGCAGCTCCAACAGCACCTCCTGCGGCAGGGTCAGCAGTACCACCAGCTCCAGCGTCCTCAGGCCCAGCGGCTCCAGCGTCGTCGGCACCTCCTGCACCAGCCCCAGTACCCTTCGAACCGGCACCCCCAGCTCCAGGGACGTCAGCAGAAGCGCCTCCAGCGGCAGAGCCCCGAGCTCCAGCAGCGCGACCCTGACGGCGAGCGTACCACTCGTGCAGCTGCTGCGGGGAGAGAGGCGCACGCGGACGAAGGCGGCCACTCCAAGGAGACCGCGTACAAGTAGTCACAGGACCCTCAGGCGCCGCACCCCCAGACTCAGCACCCCCAGGCTCCTCACGCTCAGGCTCAGCACCCCCAGACTCCGCACCCCTAGGCTCCACACGCTCAGGCTCAGCACCCCTAGACGCAGCACCCCCAGGCTCAGCACCCCTAGGCTCCGCACGCTCAGGCTCAGCACCCCCAGACGCAGCACCCCTAGGCCCCACACGCGCAGGCTCAGCACCCCGAGACTCAGCACCCCCAGGCTCCGCACGCTCAGGCTCAGCACCCCCAGACGCAGCACCCCGAGCAGGACCTGAGTCACCAGTGACCTCAACAGGCTCAGGCACAGGAGGGTCTACCTGAGAAACACCTGAAGGAGCAGGACCTGGCACGGGGAGGGGGTCTACCTGGGGAAGACCTGGAGCGAGAAAGAGCGGAAGGGGGGGGCGAGCGGCAGTACGGTAGGGAAAGAGACGGTAGAAGGGGACCGACTCGTCGAACGTGACATCCTGAGACGCAAAGACACGGCGCGAAGCGGGGTCGTAAAACTGCCAGCCAGGCGCGTCAGGAGGAAAACCAAGGAAGACGCAGGGAATGGCGCGGGCGGAGAGCTTGTCCGCGGTGGTATCGCGGACAAAGGCACGAGCACCCCAGACCCGGAAGCGCGACGCATCGCCAACCTTCCCCGTCCACAGCAGTGTGGGCAAGGTCTCCGGCAAGGAGACACGGGGCCAGAGGTTGAGCTGATGCGCGGCGTACCGGACCGCAAACGGCCACAGAAAATGTGGGGCAGCCGCATGGATCATGGAGGTACGAGCGACCTCCATGACTAAGCCAATGCGGCGCTCAGCAACCCCATTCTGCTGCGGAGAGGCCGAAAGCGTGAACGACTGGCGGATGCCGTGCTCCTCACAGAAAGCTCGCAAGAGGTCGGAGGAGAACTCACCACCTCTATCAGAGTGCAGACGCAGGACAGGAAAGTCCGACTGGAACCGCTCGCGGAGCTGGAGACGAACAGCACGGATCCAGGGGATCAGAACATCAGGGACCTGACCCTTGCTGCGCAAGGGGAAGACCGTGGTGTAGCGCGTGTAGTCGTCGACGACCAGCAGGAAGTACCGCTCGCGGCCCTGCCCCTGGACGCGGGCTGGGCCCCACACGTCCAGGTGGAGAGTCTGCAGTGGAGCCTCTGTGGGAGGGAACGAGGAGGAGTGAGGAGCGGCGCGCTGCCGCCCCTCGACGCAAGGAATGCAGGGCGGGGCAGGCGAGGGAGGGAGGGCGGGCAGAGACCTGGGAAGGCCAGAGACCAGTAGGCGAGAGTGCATGCCATGAAGGCGAGGCAGGGAGGGGTGACCAAGGCGGTGGTGCCAAAGGAGAGTCTAATGCGACAGGCGGCGACACTCACACTGGGTAGCTACCTGAGCGGACGCGTACAGCTGAGGAGACAAAGGGGTGTAGCGCGACGCAGTGGTGAGGGTGTACAGACTGGACCCAGACGCACATGTGAACGTAGCCAGGTGGCGGCCAGTCCTAGAGCATGTGCTGATCGCCACACGCTGTCCTCCAGGAGTAAAGGTGTCAACCCAATGATCCTGAAGGACGGCGTTGCTCACCAGGTTCGTGGAGAACGAGGGGAGGTGGAGACCAGACAGCTCACCAGACGGGACCGCCGGACACGGAAGCACAGTAGTGGACCGTGCAAGCACTGGGCCCCCAGAGGGGTCAGCCAGTGAGACAGGGACAGGTGCAGGGAGGGGAGTGACTGTGGTGCTGTCGCGAAAGAAACAGCGGGAAGCACCTGAGTCAAGCGTGAAGGTGTGCAAAGCCTCAGCAGGCGCAGTACCAGAGAGAGCAGACTCACTAGCACCTAGGGCTGCAGTCTCTATACCTGGGTCAGGTGGGACACACAAGTAGCAGTCACCCTCAGCACTAACAGTCAATGCATACATGGCAGCAAGAATTGCATCATAGTCAAGATCAAAGATAGGAACATCACGCCTAAGCAGGTCTGCCCAGTTGGGGAACTCAGTAGCATCAGGAAACTTGGCGCGCCAGGCGTCGCTAAGCCTAGCGAAGCAGCGGTACTCAGTGAGTAAACCGTTGCATGGGCGACCAGCGCGGGGACCGGCGCGAATGACATAGGGGCAGCGACCAGGACCCCCAGACGCCCCACGCTGAGCGTACCAGTCATGAAGCTGCTGAGACGTGGGGGTCTGGCGCTGACGCTGCTGCTGCTGCTGCTGCTGCCACCACTGGAGCTCCCCTTCGGGCCGACCGCACCCCAGCCCCCACCTCCACCACCACTACCGCTGCCTCCTCCTCCACTGCCGCCGTCGCCTCCTCCACCGCTCCCAGTCCCACCGCCGCCCCACCCACCGCCTCCACCCCCACGACCACCCCCACCACCTCCACCACCCCCGCCGCCTCCACCACCGCTCCCTCCACCGCCACCTCCACCACCCCTGCCACCCTTGCCGCCCCTGGTGCTGCTGCGCTTCCCACTAGGATCGGAAGCAGCTGCGACCTTCTCAGCACCGAGGAGGTCGACTGCAGCAGCAGAGGCGAAAGAGGGGGAAAGAGGGGAGGGGGAGCACCCCTCAAAGAGGGGAGTGCGAGGAGTGCCACGAGCAGCACCTACAGCGAGGATGTTCTTTTCTGCTGCTAGGAGCTGCTGCTCGAAGTCGGCTAGAGTGAGAGTGGTAGGGTCTTTGGCGAGGAAGTGGTCCCTGACTGAACTGAGAGTGTCAGGGAGGCGGGTGACGAGGATGTAGAGGGTAAAGTACAACGGGGGGGGGGGGGGGGGGGGGTGGCGAGGAAGTCGTCTGTAAGGGCGGCACGAAAGCGAGCGTCACTAGCGCGGAGGTGAGAGATAAGGTCCTCAGCGGTGGCAAACGAGGACAGGTCTGGGAACAGGTAGGGCAGGATGAGACGACCTACGGCTGCAGTGGCTGGGGACGAATAGCGCGCAACTACAGCGTCGTACAGTGCCTTAGCAGTCTTGTGCTGGCTAAAATGCGCGCGCTCAGTGATCGGCAGATGATTGCGAATAGCGAGGCGCGCAGCAGCATCGCGAGTCTGCCACTGTGAGCGGTCAAGCGCAGGAGCAGTGTCAGCAGGAGCAACGGCAGTGCCAGACGCGTGATCGAACAGTGAAACGCCGTCTTTTGCATCAGTCATAAGAAACAGTTGCAGGTCGTCGAGCCAAGTGGCAAACTCAATCGGGCGACCGTCAGGCTCAAACGCGAGAACATTAAGCGTCGCCATAATCGCAGCGCAGGCGAAGGCAGCAGGCAAAGGCAGTAGGCGAAGGCAGCAGGCAGAGGCAGCAGGCACAGGCAGCAGGCAAAGGCAGCAGGCACAGGCAGCAGGCAAAGGCAGCAGGCACAGGCAGCAGGCAAAGGCAGCAGGCAAAGGCAGCAGGCACAGGCAGCAGGCAAGGGCGGCATGCAAAGCAGTTGCAAGCCGCGCGTGGGCTGTCTGGGCGACGCGCTAGTAGCGCAGGCAGCGCGCGGGTGGGGCAGGCGGCCGCGGCAGTAGAGCTGGCGGCGCGCAGGGCTCCGGGGCTGCACGACGGGCAGCGCGCGGGGCTGTGGGGCAGCGCGGGAGGCGGCGCGAGGGGCTGCGGGGCAGCGCGACAGGCAGCGGGAGGGCGCGCGCGGGGCTGCGGGGCAGCGCGACGGGCTGGCAAGGCGCGCGCGGGGCTGCAGGGCAGCGCGACGGGCGGCGCGCAGGGCTGCAGGGCAGCGCGACGGGCGGCGCGCGGGGCAGCGGGGCAACGCGACGGACAGCAAGGCGCACGCGGGGCTTTTGGCGAGCAGCGCGCTTGCCAGCGATGGCGACGCGAGTCAGGGCAGGGCAGGGCGCGGGGTAGCACGGTAACCGCGAGCGGTTGGTGGTGGGCCCTAAAAAAAATCGATCCTGAGGTCCTAGGGACCTCCTGCTCTGAATACCATGTTGAAACAACTAACAGAGATGAAAGGACTAGAAAGAAGTTGGGTACAAATATGAAACCCTAAAGGGGCTATACCCCATATTGGCTACCCCACTACAGCCTACACACATATATTACGTATATAATTTGACACCCTGTTCCTTTTGTATTCTCACTTTCCGCTTCAGAAGCCTAACCACAGCGAGTACACACTCACGAAGCAGGGCCTGCCATACAAACACCCCCTCACCCCGTCCTCCCTTCTCCCATCTTGCTCGCATTTTCCTGTATTCTCACTTCCCACTCGGGACGCCTCACTTCAGTGAGGAAACCCTCATGAACAAGGAACACTCGTAAAGCCTTTCTATTTTCCCTCCCTGGTTCTTGTCTTCCCCCACTCCAACCTCCCACCCCCCCCGCCTCTATCCCTCTGCATCCCATTTTAGAACTACACTTCTTTCATATAATCACGCCAATTTTGGCAGCATGTCCAGTCTTTCATCCTTCATTTTGTGCTGACACGCATTCCAGGTGACAGTGCTGGCAGCAGCAGGCACGTTCAGGCTACCAGAAATCAAATCTGCGAGTGACCTGAAGGAAGCTCTGACTCGCCTCGGATCCGTTCCTGCTGACGAGCTTCAGGTGTGTTCTGATGAGCTTCATGTGTGTTTTGGCGAGCTTCAGGTGTGTTTTGACGAGCTTCAGGTGTATTTTGACGAGCTTCGGGTGTGTTTTGACGAGCTTCAGGTGTGTTTTGACGAGCTTTAGGTGTGTTTTGACGAGCTTCATGTGTGTTTTGACGAGCTTCAGGTGTGTTTTGACAAGCTTCAGGTGTGTTTTGACGAGCTTCAGGTGTGTTTTGACGTGCTTTAGGTGAGTCATTCAGGTGAGTTCTCATGGCATTAGTGCATGTTCTACAGTCTCACATCGAACCGGGATGACACTTTCACTGATCTCGGCCTTGTTCAATCTCCTCTCTCCCTCCCTCTTTGTCACACACGTGGCCTGCCATGGACCTCCCAGTTTCCCTCTCTACGTCCCATATTCCTACTTCCAACCCCCCAACCCCCTTCCTTCTTCCTTACTCCTCTCTCCCCATGCAAGCGGTGGAGGTGCTCTGGACGCCTCAGGACAAGGAGGACACTCTCACAGAGCGTGACATGCTGCTTGACTATCCTCGCCTGCGCCCCAAGACGATGAGGATACCCTGACAGAGCGAGACATGCTGTTTGACTATCCTCGCCTGCGGCCGCTGTAAAGGAGAATTGTCACTTCCAGCTATTGCCTTTCCCGGCGACTGTTTGTTGTGATGGAGCGAGAAGTATGAGCACAACGCACCTAGTGTGTGAAAGGGGACCAGAATTGTCAAAGTATAAATGTGCTATATGTTTGTAGGCTGTAGTGGGGTAGCCAATATGGGGTACAACCCCAACTAGGGTTTCCTATTTGTACCCTTGCTTCTTTCAATCCAACCATTCTTCCCTCATAGTTTCCACATGGTATCAGAGCAGTAGGTCCGTAAGGACCGATTTTTTTTTTTTTTTTTTTTTTGGAGGTGGTCGTGGGGGTGGTGGGGGGGGTGGAGGTGGTCGTGGGGGTGGTGGAGGTGGCAGCGGCGGCAAGGGGGGAGGAGGCGGTGGTGGTGGGGGTGGTGGTGGAGGCGGGAGTGGGACCGGCCAGCAGCAGCAGCAGCGCCAGACCCCCTCCTCTCAGCAGCTTCATGACTGGTATGCTGGGCGTGGGGCGTCTGGGGGTTCTGGTCGCTGCCCCTATGTCATTCTCACTGGCCCTCGCAAGGGCCGCACGTGCAACGGCCTTCACCCTGAGTCCCGTTGCTTTGCGCGCCTCAGCGACGCCTGGCGCGCCAAGTTCCCTGATGCCACTGAGTTCCCCAACTGGGCTGATCTGCTTAGGCGTGATGTCAATGTCTATGATCTTGACTATGATGCAATCCTTGCTGCCATGTATGCATTGACTGTTAGTGCTGAGGGTGACTGCTACTTGTGCGTTCCGCCTGACCCAGGTATAGAGACTGCAGCCCTAGGTGCTCGTGCGTCTGACCCCTCTGGTACTGCGTCCACGCAAGCTTTGCACACGTTTACACTTGACTCTGGTGCTTCTCGCTGTTTCTTTCGCGACAGCACCGCAGTCACCCCCCTCCCTGCACCTGTTCCTGTCTCACTGGCTGACCCCTCTGGGGGCCCAGTGCTTGCACGTGCCACGACTGTGCTTCCGTGCCCGGCGGTCCCGTCTGGTGAGCTGTCAGGTCTCCATGTTCCCTCGTTCTCTACGAACTTGGTGAGCAACGCCGTCCTTCAGGATCACTGGGTTGACACCTGGACTCCTGGAGGACAGCGTGTGGCGATCTGTACGTGCTCCAAGACTGGCCGCCACCTGGCCACGTTCACCCGTGAGCCGGGGTCCAGTCTTTACACTCTCACCACTGTTTCACGCTACACTCCTTTGTCTCCACAGCTGTACGCGTCTGCTCAGGTAGCCACCCAGTGTGAGTGCCGCCGCCTGTCCCACGACACTCTCCTGTGGCACCACCGCCTTGGTCACCCCTCCCTGCCTCGCCTTCGTGGCATGCACTCTCGCTGTCTGGTCTCTGGTCTTCCCAGGTCCCTGCCTGCACTCCCTCCCTCTCCTGCGCCGCCCTGCATTCCTTCCGTCGAGGGGCGGCAGCGCGCCGCTCCTCACTCCTCCTCGTTCCCTCCCACAGAGGCTCCGCTGCAGACGCTCCACCTGGACGTGTGGGGCCCAGCCCGCGTCCAGGGTCAGGGCCGCGAGCGCTACTTCCTGCTGGTCGTCGACGACTACTCGCGCTACACCACGGTCTTCCCCTTGCGCAACAAGGGCCAGGTCCCTCATGTTTTGATCCCCTGGATCCGCGCTGCTCGTCTCCAGCTTCGCGAGCGGTTCCAGACGGACTTTCCTGTCCTGCGTCTGCACTCTGATAGAGGTGGTGAGTTCTCCTCTGACCTCTTGCGAGCCTTCTGTGCGGAGCACGGCATCCGCCAGACGTTCACGCTTCCGGCCTCTCCGCAGCAGAATGGGGTTGCTGAGCGCCGCATTGGCTTAGTCATGGAGGTCGCTCGTACCTCCATGATCCATGCGGCTGCCCCCCATTTTCTGTGGCCGTTTGCGGTCCGCTACGCCGCGCATCAGCTCAACCTCTGGCCCCGTGTCTCCTTGCCGGAGACCTCGCCCACACTGTTGTGGACGGGGGAGGTTGGCGATGCGTCGCGCTTTCGGGTCTGGGGTGCTCGTGCCTTTGTCCGCGATACCACCGCGGACAAACTCTCCGCCCGCGCCATTCCCTGTGTCTTCCTTGGTTTTCCTCCTGACGCGCCTGGCTGGCAGTTTTACGACCCCACCTCGCGCCGTGTCTTTGCGTCTCAGGATGTCACCTTTGACGAGTCCGTTCCCTTCTACCGTCTCTTTCCCTACCGTACCTCCCCTCGCGCCCCCCCGTTGCTCTTCCTCACCCCAGGTCCTCCCCAGGTAGACCCCCTTCCCGCGCCAGGTCCTGCCCCTTCAGGTGTTTCTCACGTGGACCCACCCGTACCTGCGCCTGTTGAGGTCACTGGTGACTCTGGTCCTGCTGGAGGTGTCGTTGGCTCTGGGGGTGCGGAGCCTAGGGGTGCGGAGCCTGGGGGTGCGGAGCCTAGGGGTGCGGAGCCTAGGGGTGCGGAGCCTGGGGGTGCGGAGCCTGGGGGTGCGGAGCCTGGAGGTACTGAGCCTGGGGGTGCGGAGCGTGAGCGTGAGGTGCCTGGAGGTGCTGAGCCTGCGAGTCAGGAGCCTGGTGGTACTACGCCTGAGGGTGCTGTGTCTGGGGGTGACGTGCCTGTGTGTGTGGAGACTAGCTGGGCCTGGAGGTGAGCCGACTGAGGGTACTGCGCCTGCTGGGACGCGGTCCCCGTGGAGCGTGTACCTCTCACCTCATAGCAGCTGCACGACTGGTTCGGGCGCCGTCAGGGTCGCGCTGCTGGAGCTCGAGGCTCTGCTTCTGGAGGTGTTGGAGTTCCTTCCCCTGGTCTCGGAGGTGCTCGTACTGGAGGGACTGGAGCTGCCGGGGCTGGAGGAGCTTTGCGTGAGAGTTCTACTGCTGGAGACCCTGGGACTGGGGGTGCCGGTTCTGGGGGTGCTACTACTAGTGGAGTTGGTCCTGGAGGTGCTGGAGCTGGTGGTTCTGGAGCTGCTGGGGGTGCTGGAGCTACTGGTGCTGGTGCTGCTGTCAGTGGACCTGGTCCTGGTGGCGCTGTTGCTGAGGGGGCTGGAGCTGCTGGAGGTCCTGATACTACTGCTGCTGGTGACACGGCGCCGCGGCGTCTGTTCTTTGCTCCGCCGTCTCCGTCTTCTCAGCCACCGTCTGACTCGGCACTTCGCCAGGTTCTTAGTCTCCCGTCGTCTACTGGTCTTCCCTTAGTCTAGCTCACCACTGCCTGCTCCTTCTCCTTACTCTGAGCAGCCAGGAGGTCTTACTGAGCGTCGTGAGCCTGCGTCACGTCCTGTCTCGCCTGTCCGTCCTGGTCGTTCCGGTCGTCGTGTCTCTAGTCTGCGACAGCCGCCTGTTCGCAGCACGCCCCTGGTTGTCAGACGTCCTTCTCCCACTCAGCAGCGTGTTCCTCTGTTGTCTCCCCCTGCGTCCTCTCTACTTGACGTTCCCGACCCTGAGTCTGACCAGTTTCGTGCTGAGCACCCTACTGTCACGCGTCTGTTAGCCACTGTTGTCACTGACCCGTCCTTTGAGTCTGCGTCTGCGTCTGCCTTGGTCGCTGAGCTGGTTGACTTTGCTGCTACCTGTCGTCTCGACTACACTGCCAGTCTTGTTACTGAGTCTGAGTCTGTCTGTCCTCCGTACGTCTGAGTCTGAGTGTGCTCTTGGCACGGACGTCCTTGAGGACAGTCAGGAGGACCTTGACTGTCTTGCGGCTGCTGTACCTCATCTCACGGCCTGGCTGCTTGCCCCTGAGGGAGACCCGGATGCACTTGACATCCCTACCCCCCGCTCTTACACAGAGGCAGTCTCGGGTCCCTACTCCTCTCAGTGGCAGACAGCCATGGACGCAGAGATGGCATCCTGGAAGTCCACAGGCACCTACGTCGACGATGTTCCCCCTCCTGGGGCGAACATCGTCGATGGCATGTGGATTTTCAGGGTGAAGCGGCCGCCGGGTTCTCCGCCTGTCTTCAAGGCTCGTTACGTTGCTAGAGGCTTCAGTCAGCGACAGGGAGTTGACTTCTTTCAGACCTTCTCCCCTACCCCGAAGATGGCCACTCTTCGGGTGCTGCTGCACGTTGCCGCTCAGCGTGACTACGAGCTTCACTCTCTTGACTTCAGCACGGCTTTCTTGCAGGGCAGCCTGCACGAGGAGATCTGGCTGCGCCGTCCTCCTGGCTTCACTGGGTCTTTCCCTCCTGGTACCCAGTGGAGCCTCCGACGGCCAGTCTACGGTCTCCGCCAGGCGCCACGTGAGTGGCACGACACACTAAGGACGACACTTGCGGCTCTTGGGTTTGCTCCCTCCACTGCAGACCCTTCACTGTTCCTGCGCACAGACACGTCGCTGCCGCCGTTCTACATCCTCGTGTACGTCGACGACTTGGTCTTTGCTACTGCTGACACTGAGGCACTTGCTCTTGTGAAGTCGGAGCTGCAGAAGAGACACACGTGCACAGACCTGGGTGAGCTGCGCAGTTACCTTGGCTTGCAGATCACCCGGGACAGAGCACGCCGCACCATCACCCTGACTCAGTCACACATGGTGCAGCAGGTCCTTCAGCGCTTCGGCTTCCAGTTCTCCTCACCTCAGTCCACTCCTCTGTCTACCAGCCACTCGCTCTCAGCTCCACCTTCGGACGAGTCCGTAGAGCCGACTGGTCCGTACCCAGAGCGTGTGGGCTGTCTCATGTACCTGATGACCTGCACTCGACCTGACCTTGCGTACCCTCTTAGCATCCTAGCTCGCTACGTCGCACATGGGAGACACAGGCGAGAGCACTGGAAGGCTGCTAAGAGGGTGCTGCGCTACTTGTGCAGTACATCAGGCATGGGGCTGGTGCTTGGAGGACAGGGCTCGGTTGTCCTCACTGGACACTCAGACGCCTCTTGGGTTGACGACCTGGCTACGCAGCGGTCGTCACAGGGTTATACCTTCAGCCTTGGCTCTGGTTCTGTCTCTTGGCGTTCCACTCGCTCTTCTTCTGTTCTCGGCTCTAGTTGTGAGGCTGAGATCTACGCCACGGCCATGGCTGCACAGGAGCTATGCTGGCTCACCTACCTGCTGACTGGCTTGGGAGAGCGGCCTCGTTCTCCTCCAGTTCTGTACGGCGACAACAAGGCAGCTCTTGCCTTGTGTCAGGAGCACAGACTGGAGCACAGAACGAAGCACATTGCTCTCCGTTACTTTCTGGCTCGAGAGCTGCAGCAGCGTGGCCAGCTTCGCCTTGCGTACGTGGACTCGAAGGCCAACACTGCTGATATATTCACCAAGGCGCTTCCGCCTAGTGATCATCAGCGGCACTGCACTGCGTTAGGCCTTGTGTCCACGTTCTCTCACTTGCTTACTTCTTGACTTTGCTTGTACTGTGATCTATATATATGTCCTTGCATGCTTGCACTTGCTAGGCTTTGATCACTGTACTACTTGGGTCCTCCTATATAACTCTGCATGTGAACTGGCCTTGTGGCCTTTGCTTGTGCTCAGAGAGTGTGGTGACATTGTGATCCACCCTGAGCTTGTTCTTTGCTTTGCTTGACTGGTCTTGTGACCCCTTGCTCTCCCCCACTTTGCCTATGGGGGTGTGTCAAAATATAAAATGTGCTATATGTTTGTAGGCTGTAGTGGGGTAGCCAATATGGGGTACAACCCCAACTAGGGTTTCCTATTTGTACCCTTGCTTCTTTCAATCCAACCATTCTTGCCTCATAGTTTCCACAAGAATGAGTGGAGTGGAATCAGAGGGACCTGTAACCTTGCCTGTACCCGTTGTTGACTAGTTGATTGGTCTGTGAATGGTGGACTTCTGAATAAATAATGAATCAAACTGGTCGTATGGGTGGGCCATGATTGCAGATTGTGTTGTGTTTGTGGTGTTGTATAAGATAAATGGTGTAGCATTTGTAGTTAGATGCAACTGCAAAGGGGGACAGACAGGGTTTCATGGAGATGAACTTTGCAATGTAGCAAGAGACAAACTGGTTCTTAATTGCATCACAGAGCAATGCCAATTGTAGCCAAATGCAAAGGGACACCAATAGAAAGCATTGCTGGATGGTAAAAGCCTTTGCGAGCCTAGGTGTGTTCTAAAAAGTTTAAGGCTAAATGTGGGTGGACGCCTCTTGCCACAGAACAAGGCATTTACCAGCACAATACTAGCTGAACCCAACATTCTAAAACAAATCATTTTTAGATAAATATTAAACTATAGTACACAGCTACAACTAAGAAATGTCTCTCATCTAATGTACCTATCCCATTATTATCTCAATACACCAGCCCCTATGGCCTCCGAGGAGGCCTTATTGCCGCTAACCTTGTCACTCTTGAAGGATACACCCTCCCTCCAACCCTCACACCCCCAGCTTGCTGCTGCTTCTTCTTGCCCTGTGATACTGCCAACCCAACTTGCTGCTGCTTCTTTTTTCTCTGTAAGGCTGCCGATCCTCCCTTGATACGTCCACCATGAGAAGATTCCAAACGACCAGAAGGCGATTTCTGTGCTCCGAATGTCAAGCTTCCAACCCTCACGTGCTGCTGCATCTTACATTCTGCTGCTGCTGACCCCTTCTTGACACCTCCACCAGACCGAATAACCAAAGCTCTTGAAGGCTGCTTCTTGTCCCCACTTACCACACCTCCAACCCCACCCTGCTCCTTCATCCCAAGTGCTGCTGAAACTCCCGTGAGGGCCTGGAGAGCTCCAACAGAAACAGTCACCATCGTTTTGTCCACCACAGCTGGCTGCACCCCTGCTACTCGTTTGCTGCCACGTTTAAGACGCCGTGTAGGGAGTAGTCTCCAACTTTCTGCATCTGTTCCCCTGACCAAGCTCTGGTCTGCACCTAGCAGACCCATCCTTGAAGCAAGACTCACAGCAGCGACCATGTTCCTGCTCACTGAATCCGAAACCAGGAGTAGCACCAGATCAAGCAGCAGCGCACTGTCACTGTAGTCATGGACCTGATAGTTGTAGCAGTTTAGCTTGCAGTAGACATGGCAGCAGAGACTGTTGACAGCACTGGCAGTGGAAGGCTCCTCCTGGGAGCTCTGTCCGCTGCTGCTGCTGTCACTGAAGCCGCTGCTGCTGCTGTCACTGAAGCCGCTGCTGCTGCTGTCACTGAAGCCGCTGCTGCTGCTGTCACTGAAGCCGCTGCTGCTGCTGCTGTCACAGAAGCCGCTGCTGCTGCTGCTGTCACAGAAGCCGCTGCTGCTGCTGTCACTGAAGCCGCTGCTGCTGCTGTCACTGAAGCCGCTGCTGCTGCTGTCACTGAAGCCGCTGCTGCTGCTGTCACTGAAGCCGCTGTCGCTGAAGCCGCTGTGGCCGCTGCAGCTGCTGTCGCTGCTCGTGCTGCAAGAGAATACTTCGTTGCAAGTGTCAAAACCGCAGATCTTGGCGTCACCGCTGCAGCTGCTGTCAGACCAGCCGCTGATCGTGGTGCCAGTCTCAGAACCGAACACGTGGACATCATTGCTGCTGCAAATGCCGCTCAGATCAGAATCATCCTCCGAGAGATCACCCTCTGCAGCCATAAACAGTGAGTGAATCTCTTGTGCAGCCTCAGCGTCAGCTAGTGGCACTTCCTGCTGCTCAGAAGAAAAAATCCGCGCGTTCTCCTCCTCAGCAGCCGGAGAGCGAGCTAAGGAGGCCATATCAGCATCCCATTGTGCCTGCAGCATGGCATGACGCGCAGCCTGCATCAACGCGTCCCGTTGTTTCCAGAGGCTCAGAACTTCTGCAAAGGTAGGATATTCAACGGATTCAGGACCATAACGCTTCGCCTGGATCAAAATACCGCATTTCTCCCAGAAGGCCACAAGCTCAGCAAAGGACGGTAAGTCAGACGAACAAGCCATCAAGCTAACCGAGTTTGTGTGGGAGAGTAAACGCAAAGCTAAACGCTAAGAGCAAAGAGGTTCTGCGAGATATAAAGAACGAAATAAGAGGTCTGAACTTGCTAGGAAATGGCTCAACCAACAGAACAAGAAGAAGCTGGATTCTTAACTCTGAAAATGAGTCATCTATGCGTCGGATTTGTAGATGAGACGAGCAACAGGAGAGAGAGGGATGGAGGCTGTGCGGAGGGGACACTCACAGGAGGGAGTGTCGAAAAAAGGAGGAACTTTTCTCAGATACTGCCCGAGCACCTCCGAAAATTCGGAACCGTGTGCTGGGCCTGGCATGCTGCATAACGCGAAATCTACTGAAACCGCGAAAATGGGAACAGAATCTGCTGGTGAACCTATTCTCACCGAGGGTCTTCGCAACGGAGCGACGCGACAGGATCTGTTTTTCGCTAACCCCGATTCTATCGTGTCCTCCCCCCGCCAAAACGTTTTCCGCTGCGCGCTAGCGGAGCTTCTTTCCTACAAAGTCGACGTCATGAAATAATAAGTTTCGCCTGCCCGACCGCACTCGAAGCGCTGACGAACCTCTGGGGTACTCCCATTCCCGAAAATGCCTAAGGGTGGTGCCGCTGTGCCTCCCGCAATCGAAGGAAGACAGGCTTGGTAGCGAAGTACTGAATCTGAGATCGACAGGGTGATGAGATCGAGGTCTGAATGGGTGGATTCGTACTCCCTACGGAGCTTCTTGTCATAAAAACGGCTGCTAAATTTTCAACCAAAAGTGCTATTCTATGTTGAAACTTCATTCATCTGTATTAGTACACAATTAGGGTTTTCTGAAAATCGGTAATCATAATGAACAGGACTCAAATGAAATATATTAAAATAAATCTATGATATTTGAATTTTTAATCAGAAGGCATATTATCGCGGTCGTGTGTGTGACGATTAGTGCAAAGGTCCATTAGGTTCAGCTGTGTTGGTATTAAGGTAAAACTTGAAGTTCTCATTTAATACAGCTGAGTTGCATCAATGTTATCTTTTCAACACAGAGTTGAGAGGTGATGCTAAAGCTCCATGTGGAAATATAAAGCTGGTAATATAACTGCTTAAACAGCAGAGTGATTTCGACTGTTCTGTATCAGAAACTATAATAGCGCGCTTTATTCACTCAGCCGAACTGCACCACTGATTCTCATCAGACACACGAAACCACTTCCGAATCTGCAATCGCTCGCGTCGCGCCTAGTAATATTGCCTATTACTACGTACCTCGCTCTCGTCTGCTCCTTCCTGTCACCTCAGAGTCACGCCAGTCGACAGCCATTTCCAACGCTCGCGTGTCGCCGCGTTCGCATTTTTCCTCGAATTGGGTCGGGCATGGACTTGCGACAGGCACGATCACTGTTAGATCTAGCAGCGATGTCTTTTTCAATGCAAGGCGGTGGAATCGGCGGAAGCGGCGGCTTTTACGCCTCCCGCATGTGCTCTTTTTCTTCACCTGTATCTTCCCTGCCGCTCACTCGATTCCTCTCTCCCTCTATTCCTCGCGTTCCTCAATTCCTTCGTCTCTTCCTCTCATGCTTTCAACTTTTTCCTCTGAGATTCTATTCGATAGCCTTTCACGAAACGTACCTCCTCGCCTGCTGCGCCCCATGTGCCCGAGTGTTTCACTTACTCCTTCCCTCCCTCTCACTCGATTATCCGTCTCTTCCTTCCATGCTCCCTCTCATTTCTTCCTCACTCCCGTCCTCCGTCATCTCCTCCTTCCTTCACTTCACTTCAATCAGAGTCGATGCTCTCACTCCTTCGCAATTCCCGCTGCATTTCTGTTTGTTCATCTCCGCTGTTGACTCTCTTCCTCTTCCTCGCTCACTCGTGCCCATCCATCATAAACCGGGCTCGTGTTGCTGCACAACCCCATAATCGCCTCTTCAACGCCCAGTTATTCTCTCTCTCCCTCTCCTCCTCTCTCCTCCTCTCTCCCCCCTCTCCCCTCACTCACCCCACTCCCCTCTCCCCCCTCCCCTCTCCCCCCTCATTCCCCTCTCCCCTCTCCCCTCACTCCCCTCTCCCCCCTCACGCCCATCCATCAGAGATGGTGCTCCTGCTGTCTTGACAAGCCGCACTGCTCTTCTGTCTGCAGGCCAGGCCAGATGGGGAAAGCTCTTCTGTGGAAAGGCCGTTACACTGAAACTTCTTACCATGCGAGAAGAGGTGCTCAGCTAGTAGCAACCTGGACTAGTGCATCTACTGCTTCTCCTCCGATGTGAATGCTGAGGTAAGCTGGATTGTGAGCTGAGTCGGGTTTGGCTAGAAGCTGTACTCTGCGCAGACGAGGAGAAGCATCCCGACCAGACTACTATTGCGTCTGCAAGGGCTACCCCCTCGTCTTGTAATCCTCAAACCCCAAAGGATTGTGTGGGAATGGAAAGCAAGGCAGCACGTCGATTTGCATGCATGTGTTGTCAAACGTTACAGGGAGGAAGAGCGAATCTATTCACTGCAGGTAAGACAGTGCTGGCAGCAGCAGAGTGCACGGTGACAGTGCTGGAAGCAGCGAATCCATTGACTGCAGGTGACAGTGCTGCTGGCAGCAGCAGAGTGCACGGTGACAGTGCTGGAAGCAGCGAATCCATTGACTGCAGGTGACAGTGCTGCTGGCAGCAGCAGAGTGCACGGTGACAGTGCTGGAAGCAGCGAATCCATTGACTGCAGGTGACAGTGCTGCTGGCAGCAGCAGAGTGCACGGTGACAGTGCTGGAAGCAGCGAATCCATTGACTGCAGGTGACAGTGCTGCTGGCAGCAGCAGAGTGCACGGTGACAGTGCTGGAAGCAGCGAATCCATTGACTGCAGGTGACAGTGCTGCTGGCAGCAGCAGAGTGCACGGTGACAGTGCTGGAAGCAGCGAATCCATTGACTGCAGGTGACAGTGCTGCTGGCAGCAGCAGAGTGCACGGTGACAGTGCTGGAAGCAGCGAATCCATTGACTGCAGGTGACAGTGCTGCTGGCAGCAGCAGAGTGCACGGTGACAGTGCTGGAAGCAGCGAATCCATTGACTGCAGGTGACAGTGCTGCTGGCAGCAGCAGAGTGCACGGTGACAGTGCTGGAAGCAGCGAATCCATTGACTGCAGGTGACAGTGCTGCTCGCAGCAGCAGAGTGGGCACGGTTCTTCCGTGTGTTATGTCCACGACCACTTTTGACGGCTCATTATTTAGTCCCGTTCTTCACATGTCTCCTGAGCCACACTGCAAGCGTCAGCGGGTTGGCTGGCAGCAGCAAACGCTGCCGTTCGTCCTTTGATTTCTCTTTCTGAGTTGTCGCCTCACATGCAAGGCCACTCCTCTTTCTGCCTTGAATTGCTGCAGCTGACAGTGCTGGCAGCCTGGCAGCAGCAGCAGTTGGGTAGGTATCAGCTGTCGAATCTGCAAGTGACCTGAGCTAAGCCCTGACTCGACTCGGATCTGAGGCGAGTTTCAGAGCTGAGGTAAGACCTGAGGCGAGTTTCATGGGTTATAGATAAGTTTCTATGAGCTTCAGGTGTTCTGCGGTGTTGAGCTTCAGGTGTTCATGGTTTGGGTGTGCTCTGCGGAGCTCCAGGCGTACTCCAGGTGAGGTGCGTTCATTTAAGCTTCAGCCGTGTCATTTAACTCGTGATAGCATAAGATACTCACTGCTCTCACAGTCAACGTCACTGCTCAATGTCAAGCTTCAGCCGTGTCATTTAACTCATTTAACTCGTGTAGCTTAGGCACTTCCTTCCTCCTTCCATCTCCACTATACAACAAGCGGCCTAATTCTACTCGTTTTTTCCCACTTCTTTCCTTCCACTCCCCATCCATGCAGTTAAGGTACTCTGGTCGCCTCAGGAAGGGGGTTTCGACTCTTTCACCTAGCAGTACTTGGCATCCCAGCCCCACCCCGCACTTCCTTTCCCTTCCCTTCTGCTCTCCTTTCCCTTCCCTTCTGCTCTCCCTTCCCTTCCCTTCTGCTCTCCTTTCCCTTCCCTTCTGCTCTCCTTTCCCTTCCCTTCTGCTCTCCTTTCCCTTCCCTTCTGCTCTCCTTTCCCTTCCCTTCTGCTCTCCTTTCCCTTCCTTTCTGCTCTCCTTTCCCTTCCCTTCTGCTCTCCTTTCCCTTCCATTCTCCTCTCCTTTCCCTTCCCTTCTGCTCTCCTTTCCCTTCCCTTCTGCTCTCCTTTCCCTTCCCTTCTGCTCTCCTTTCCCTTCCCTTCTGCTCTCCTTTCCCTTCCTTTCTGCTCTCCTTTCCCTTCCCTTCTGCTCTCCTTTCCCTTCCCTTCTGCTCTCCTTTTCCTTCCCTTCTGCTCTCCTTTCCCTTCCCTTCTGCTCTCCTTTCCCTTCCCTTCTGCTCTCCTTTCCCTTCCATTCTCCTCTCCTTTCCCTTCCCTTCTGCTCTCCTTTCCCTTCCCTTCTGCTCTCCTTTCCCTTCCCTTCTGCTCTCCTTTCCCTTCCCTTCTGCTCTCCTTTCCCTTCCCTTCTGCTCTCCTTTCCCTTCCCTTCTGCTCTCTTTTCCCTTCCCTTCTACTCTCCTTTCCCTTACCTTCTGCTCTCCTTTCCCTTCCCTTCTGCTCTCCTTTCCCTTCCCTTCTGCTCTCCTTTCCCTTCCCTTCTGCTCTCCTTTCCCTTCCCTTCTGCTCTCCTTTCCCTTCCCTTCTGCTCTCCTTTCCCTTCCCTTCTGCTCTCCTTTCCCTTCCCTTCTGCTCTCCTTTCCCTTCCCTTCTGCTCTCCTTTCCCTTCCCTTCTGCTCTCCTTTCCCTTCCCTTCTGCTCTCCTTTCCCTTCCCTTCTGCTCTCCTTTCCCTTCCCTTCTGCTCTCCTTTCCCTTCCCTTCTGCTCTCCTTTCCCTTCCCTTCTGCTCTCCTTTCCCTTCCATTCTCCTCTCCTTTCCCTTCCCTTCTGCTCTCCTTTCCCTTCCCTTCTGCTCTCCTTTCCCTTCCCTTCTGCTCTCCTTTCCCTTCCCTTCTGCTCTCCTTTCCCTTCCCTTCTGCTCTCCTTTCCCTTCCCTTCTGCTCTCCTTTCCCTTACCTTCTGCTCTCCTTTCCCTTCCCTTCTGCTCTCCTTTCCCTTCCCTTCTGCTCTCCTTTCCCTTCCCTTCTGCTCTCCTTTCCCTTCCCTTCTGCTCTCCTTTCCCTTCTTTTCTGCTCTCCTTTCCCTTCCCTTCTGCTCTCCTTTCCCTTCCCTTCTGCTCTCCTTTCCCTTCCCTTCTGCTCTCCTTTCCCTTCCCTTCTGCTCTCCTTTCCCTTCCCTTCTGCTCTCCTTTCCCTTCCCTTCTGCTCTCCTTTCCCTTCCTTTCTGCTCTCCTTTCCCTTCCCTTCTGCTCTCCTTTCCCTTCCCTTCTGCTCTCCTTTCCCTTACCTTCTGCTCTCCTTTCCCTTCCCTTCTGCTCTCCTTTCCCTTCCCTTCTGCTCTCCTTTCCCTTCCCTTCTGCTCTCCTTTCCCTTCCCTTCTGCTCTCCTTTCCCTTCCTTTCTGCTCTCCTTTCCCTTCCCTTCTGCTCTCCTTTCCCTTCCCTTCTGCTCTCCTTTCCCTTCCCTTCTGCTCTCCTTTCCCTTCCCTTCTGCTCTCCTTTCCCTTCCCTTCTGCTCTCCTTTCCCTTCCCTTCTGCTCTCCTTTCCCTTCCTTTCTGCTCTCCTTTCCCTTCCCTTCTGCTCTCCTTTCCCTTCCCTTCTGCTCTCCTTTCCCTTCCCTTCTGCTCTCCTTTCCCTTCCCTTCTGCTCTCCTTTCCCTTCCATTCTCCTCTCCTTTCCCTTCCCTTCTGCTCTCCTTTCCCTTCCCTTCTGCTCTCCTTTCCCTTCCCTTCTGCTCTCCTTTCCCTTCCCTTCTGCTCTCCTTTCCCTTCCCTTCTGCTCTCCTTTCCCTTCCCTTCTGCTCTCCTTTCCCTTCCCTTCTGCTCTCCTTTCCCTTACCTTCTGCTCTCCTTTCCCTTCCCTTCTCCTCTCCTTTCCCTTCCATTTTCCTCTCCTTTCCCTTCCATTCTCCTCTCCTTTCCCTTCCCTTCTGCTCTCCTTTCCCTTCCCTTCTGCTCTCCTTTCCCTTCCCTTCTGCTCTCCTTTCCCTTCCCTTCTGCTCTCCTTTCCCTTCCCTTCTGCTCTCCTTTCCCTTCCCTTCTGCTCTCCTTTCCCTTCCCTTCTGCTCTCCTTTCCCTTACCTTCTGCTCTCCTTTCCCTTCCCTTCTGCTCTCCTTTCCCTTCCATTCTCCTCTCCTTTCCCTTCCCTTCTGCTCTCCTTTCCCTTCCCTTCTGCTCTCCTTTCCCTTCCCTTCTGCTCTCCTTTCCCTTCCCTTCTGCTCTCCTTTCCCTTCCCTTCTGCTCTCCTTTCCCTTCCCTTCTGCTCTCCTTTCCCTTCCCTTCTGCTCTCCTTTCCCTTCCTTTCTGCTCTCCTTTCCCTTCCCTTCTGCTCTCCTTTCCCTTCCCTTCTCTCTCGTGTTCTCGCCTCTCTTGTTACCCACCCTCGTGCCTCTGTGTCCTCTGTGTCCGCTCTTACTGCCGCAGTCACTGAGTTTGCCTCTACCCGCCGCCTTGACTTCGCCACCGCTCTTGTGGCTGCTCCTCCTTCCAGTCCTCTGGCCGTCGGGGGTGTGTCTGCCCTTGGCTGTGACGCCCTAGAGGACAGGCAGTTTGAGCTAGAGTTCCTGGCGGCCGCTTCCCCTCATCTCTGTGCCATGCTCCTCGCCCCTGAGGGTGACCCCGACGCCCTTGACATTCCGACTCCTCGCACTTACGCTGAGGCAGTGTCAGGGCCTTGGGCCTCTCAGTGGAGAGCTGCCATGGACGCAGAGATGGCCTCCTACAGATCCACAGGCACCTACGTCGATGAGGTTCCCCCTCCGGGGGCGAACGTAGTCGACGGCATGTGGATCTACAGGGTGAAGCGGCCACCGGGATCTCCTCCGGTCTTCAAGGCGCGCTACGTGGCTAGAGGTTTCAGTCAGCGCGAGGGAGTTGACTTCTTTCAGACCTTCGCGCCCACCCCGAAGATGACCACTCTTCGGGTGTTACTACACGTAGCAGCACAGAGAGACTACGAGTTACACTCTCTCGACTTCTCTACTGCTTTCCTTCAGGGCAGTCTTCACGAGGAGGTCTGGTTGCGTCGTCCCTCTGCCTTCACTGGCTCTTTCCCTCCTGGGACCCAGTGGAGGCTAAGGCGACCGGTTTACGGTCTTCGTCAGGCTCCTCGTGAGTGGCACGACACCCTGCGTTCTACCCTGTCTGACCTTGGGTTCCAGCCGTCTTCTGCTGACCCGTCGCTGTTCGTTCGTCGTGGCACCACACCTTTCTTTGTTCTGGTCTACGTTGACGACCTTGTTTTCGCCACCCCTGACAGGGTTGCTTTGGCACACGTGAAGTCCGAACTGCAGAAGAGACACACCTGCACTGATCTTGGTGAGCTGCGCCACTACCTTGGCCTGCAGATCACCAGGGACAGAGCTGCTCGCACCATTACACTTTCACAGTCGCACATGGTGCAGCAGGTCCTTCAGCGGTTCGGGCTTCAGCACTCCACAGTACAGCGCACACCTCTTGCTGTTGACCACAGACTCACTGGACCCTTTCCTGACGAGCCGTTCGAGCCTAGTGGTCCCTACGCAGAGCTTGTGGGTTGCCTCATGTACCTGATGACTTGTACTCGCCCGGACCTCGCCTTCCCTCTCAGCGTTCTTGCGCGCTTTGTTGCGCCAGGGAGACACCGTCCTGTTCACTGGACAGCAGCTGTGAGGGTGGCGAAGTACCTAGCGACGACGTCAGGCGTGGGGCTAGTTCTTGGAGGGCAGCAGTCTGTCGTACTTACTGGTCACTGTGACTCCTCTTACGCTGACGACGCTGAGACTCACAGGTCTACTCAGGGGTACTGTTTCAGCCTGGGTTCTGGAGCTGTTTCCTGGCGGTCCACGCGCTCCTCTTCGGTCTCGACCTCTACAGCTGAGGCTGAGATCTACGCTGGTGCCATGGCGGCACAGGAGCTGCGTTGGTTGACCTTCTTGCTCACCGACCTTGGTGAGCGGCCGAGCTCTGCACCGACCTTGTTCACTGACAACAAGGCGTCTATTCTCCTTTGTCGAGAGCCACGACTGGAGAGCAGAGTGAAGCACATTCACGTCAGGTACTTTCTTCTGCGAGAGTTGCAGAGGCGTGGACAGGCTCGCTTTGAGTTTGTGGAGTCCGAGGCCAACACTGCAGACATCTTCACCAAGGCGCTTCCGCCTTGTGACCACCAGAGGTGCTGTGTGCAGTTAGGCCTTGTTGACACTGGTTCTCGTGTTGCTTAGACTTGAGTGTACTGTTTACTTTGCTTTCTATATATCTCTGTTACTTCTTGGACTGGCCTTGTGGCCACTGTTGTTTGTGCTCAGACTGTGTGGTGACGTTGTGATCCACCCTGAGCTTTGTTTCTTGGACTGGTCTTGTGACCGTACTCGTTTGGTTCTGCTAGACACCCCTCACTTAGGCTATGGGGGTGTGTCAAATGTTGTAGCCTATAGTGAGGTTTGTCTTAGGGGGTACAAAACTTAGGGTTAGCTATATGTACCCCAACCAACATCAATGCACCATCCATTCTTCATTCTGACATGGAGGCCTTATTGCCGCTACCCATGACATCATCCAAGCATCCTTCCAACCTCCAAATCTCCTGCCTGCCGCTGCCCATGTCATCCTTAAAGCATCCTTCCAAGCTCCAAATCTCCTGCCTGTGACTTTTTCCAACTGCTTCTTTCTCAGTGCTGATGATGCTCGGCCTTCCCTGAGAGCTCCACCAAAACGAGCAGCCAACATTCCTGTAGCTGCTTCCCTCACTCCATGTGTTGCAACCCCAAGTCTTCCCTGCTGTTGCCTAGAGCTCTGTACTGCAGGTGACCCACAAGGAATAGCAACCAATGCTCCTGACGCCACTTCCCTAGCAGCTCCAACCCCACCCTCCTGCCTCATACTCTGTTGAGCGGCTAACCCTTTCATGAGACCCCCACCAAAACCAGCATCTAATACTTTCAAAGGGAATTCCCTTGATCCACACATCCCACCTACTACCAACTCCAGCAGCCTCCTCCTCTGTGGTGCTACTGCCGCTTCCTTCAAGCCTCCACCGGAAGGAGAAACCATTGTCCACGATCCACACAGCACACTTGCACTCAGATACAGCTGCCTTGTGCTCTCTGCTGACCCGTCCTGCAGCGGCTCGAGGCCACCACCAGAAGCAGTCAATGCCTTTTTCTCCACAACCGCTACTGCTGCTGGTCGCGTGCTGTCAGCATTATTAGTGGCTGGCTCCTCTTGGGAGCCTTGGCCGCTGCTGCTGATGTCACTGAAGCCGCTGCTCGTGTTGCAAGCCTCTGAACCGACCACGCTGACGTCGTTGCAGGCGTCATCGCTGGCGTCACCGCTGCTGCTGCTGTCACTGAAGAAGCTGCTCGTGCTAGAGGTTTCAGACCCGAAGACCCTGGCGTCACTGCTGCTCAGATCGAAATCATCCCCAGAGCCCTCGCCCTCTGAAGCATCAAGCAGCGAGAGCACCAACTCGACGACCTTTGCTTCAGCTTGCTTCTCTTCCTGGTCCGCATAAGACGTGGTCCACGAGTCCACCTCCTCTACGACCTCTGCCTCCGATTGCTGCTCTTCCTGGTCCGCAGAAGATGTGCTCCACCAGCCCGCCTCCTCGACTGTAGGATAGTGAGCTGGGGAGAACAAAAGAGCACGGCGCTGCTCCTGCACCTTTGCAGCCCGTTGTCTCCAAAAGCTCAGGACTTCAGCGAACGTCGGGTACTCAGCAGACGCACGGATCGGTGCATAATGCTTCATCCGCAGCAGCGTACCGCGCTTCTCCCAGATGGCCACAGCCTCAGCAAATGAGGGATAATCATAACAAGCCATGGGAGGGAAAAAGCGAAGAGAATCTGAACACTAGAGCGTCGAGCTTCCCCGGGGACTAGAATAAGAATAAGGTTGAGAGAGCTCTGACGAATTAGCTGGACAACGGATTAACCAAAGAGACCAGTAAGAAACTCGCTTTGATATTGTGAAAATGAGACTGCCGCTGGACGTCGGATTTGTTGGTGAGACGAGGCGAGGGGACCAACAGCAGCAGAGAGACGGACGGAGGTGGTGAGGAGGAACTCTCAGAGGAGGGAGGAACGAAAAGGGAGAGAAGTTTTCTCAGATGCTGCCCGAGCAGCTCCGAAAAAACGGAACTCTGCGCTGGTATGGTGCACTGCGCGAAATCTACTGACACCGCAAACACAGGGAACTCTGGTTTTGCTGGCGAAGCGATTCTCGCAGGGGGTCCTCATGAGGAAGCGACGCGAAAGGATCCGTCGTTCGCTACCCCCGAACCTATCGGGTCTCCTGGGCCTGACAAAAGGTTCTCCGCTGCACGGTAGCGGAGTTCCTTTCCTACAAACTCGAAGGCATGAGATAATAGATTTCACCTGCCCGACCGCACTCGGGTCGCCGACGAATATCTGGCGCACCGCCATTCCCGAAAATGCCCAAGGCTGGCAGTGCTGTGCCCCCCGCGACTGAAGGAAGGGAGGTTCGGGCGATGATTTCCGAGCCTGAGAGGTTGTGGAGAAATGAAATCGAGGTCAAAATGGTGAATCTGTACTCCCTAGAGTGCTCCACATCCTGAACTAATAATATTCAGCTTAATTTGCTTACGTGCTATTATATATTGAGGAGAATATGAGAAAATTTCATTTGCAGTGTTTTCCATGTGAGAAAAAAGATTTTGAATATAATCGATGCCAGCAGATTTGAGAGGTAATGATGGCAGTCATTGTAAAAATAAGCTGTGCTGCACCAAAATGATTGCTGACTGCATGCTGGAAAACAACGCCGCCTCCCCTCATACGCTAAATGCCTATATGGTATTCTACGTGAAAAGTCTAATTCGTTCCTAAGCAGGGAGACTGAACCACTGTGTGCATAAGTATTTCTCTCCCCTCTTGACTGGTAACCCTGCATGCTTGGACCTACTATCTTCAATGCCTTGATCTGTCAAATGTGTGTACCAGAGAATAGCTTTCCCTCTCTCTGGCTTCACCTGCAGAGAGAAAAAAACGTGGATTGTCAACAATCAGACAAAGAAGAACCTTCACTCATTTCATCCTCAACTGCCTCCCCATCCCTCTCCTCTTTCAACCATCCCCTCGTATCTCTCCAATCCCTCTCCCATCCCTCTTCCCTCTCCCCTCTCCGTGATCACCATCCCATCGTTAGCGAAACATACCTTGATGCCTACGTTTGGAAAGTACGTCTCCCCACCCTCGAAGCCATCATTCAGGTACACAAGGAATGTCCCACGAGCTTCAAGCGTGCCATCTGGCAGCATGCGGCCGTCATAATGAGCCTTGTACTCCTGGCCCTCAGCGTATTTCACCAGCTGGAGCTCTGACGTCGCAAGCCTCTCAAAATCTTCAATTCCCGTAATGAGCTTGGCACAACCTCGAATCTTCATGCACACCTTACCAGCAGCACTAAAGTCTTTCGAGGGATCAATCCAAGTCGTGCTGCAAGGTGAAAGTATGTCATCAGAAGGCGGATCATGAGGAAAACAGAAGAAAAAACAGCAACATGAAATACGAACCTGCTGGTTCTATAGTCGCTTAGTCCACTATCCCCTTTGTTTGCTTTCTGCAGCAACGACAGAGATCAGGTTCAGCTAACGAAATCAAATACGCGTCAAGTGATGTTAGCAATGAATCTGAAGAGTACTAGCCGAAGTCGGCAACACGACATGGGAGTATATGCGGGAGAAATTGCTGACCTGGACTCGGCTCCGCTGCCATCGGCCGCTTCCTGATTCTATCAAAATTCTGCATTCGTCTTCCGACAGTAATCCTGGAAATTCCCACACCCGGAACTCTGTATCTACGGTCGAGAAGTTGAATCTTGGGCAATCAACCGGAACGATGCTCGCCTTGTTGTCAATATCGTTTTTCGTAGGCTCACATGGAGCGTTTCTTTCAGAATCTTCAGCAGCGGTACTTTCAGACGCGGCACAGTGGCTCGAATAGCTCGCAGGCCTATGTGAATCGACAGATACCCTTCGAGTAGAGCTCATTCGATGGCCCATTATCAAAACCTGCAACCATTAACCCTTCCCACACGCTGGTGCAATAATCTTCTGAAAGCAACCACTGGCAGTCAGTGAAGACGTCCTCTTTCCTTCAAAAATACATATCCAACTGCCGCAGCAAACCCATGCGCGACCCATTTCGAAAGAATTTCGACTGCGCCGACACGCGAGCATTGGAAATGGCTGTCGACTGGCGTCAGCGTGACTTGGAGGTGACAGGATCGAGCTGCTGCCTGTCGTCTGTCGTCAGCTACAAGGCGGGACTGATTTCGGATTCTAGCATCACTTACGCCTGTCTGTCCTCCTGATGATCAGTCAGGTGGATTGGAAATGTCACATTCTGCTGCTGCATGAGTCATGCAGTTCAGCTGAGTGAGAGCTAAGCGCTATAACGGTCTTGATACAGACTACGAAAGCTGAAACGAAAGAGTCAATTAACATAACACACTTACTGGGAAGTCTCCATCATAGTTTCACATCAGCTTTAACAAAGATTTCAAACATTAGTTATCAAATTTGAATGAATGGGATTCGTCTGATTAACTCTGTATACACCTTTTATTTTATAACACCAACACACCTCAGCGCTAACAGTCCACAACAATAATCCGATCCCATCCATCCATCCACCTACATCTTGAAGGATGAGAAAAATATCATTGTTCTATGTACCGTACGTCATTTTGATTGCTATGTTCATTATCTGGAAACTTCTATTGTTCATTATTATGCATACAATCTTTTAAACCTGAAATAGTCTTGCTGGTTGATTTCACCATTCTGACTCCAATATCAACCGTCCAGCGTTCTCAATGTCAAGCTTCGCTACTGTACCTGCCTTCCTTCAAGTGAGCGAGGCACAGCGCCACCACCCTTAGGCATTTTTGGGAATTGGAGTACCACAGAGATTCGTCGGCGCTCCGATTGCGATCGGGCAGGCGGAATTTATCGTTTCATGGCGAAAGAAGCTCTGCTAGGGCGCAGCGGAAAAAAATCTGTCGGGGGCAAGACAAGTGGATAGGGAAGGGGAAAGATATTACGCTGTGTGTGGGAGACGGAGATAAGTAGAACAAGGCTGAGTGTGTGAGGGAGATGGAGAGAGGAGAAGAACGAGGCTGGGTGTGTGTGAGGAGGCACAATAACGCCGCGTTGAGTGAAAGTGTCATCCCTGCGCTATATAAGAACTTAGAGCATGCTATGCTGCCATGAGTTGATTGACACACCTGAAGCTCATCAGAGCACACCTGCAGCTCATCAACACCCACCTCAAGCTCATGAAAACTCACCTGAAGTGAAGCTCGTCAGCAGGATGGAGCCGAAGCGAGTCAGGGCTTCCCTCAGGTCACTCTCAGATTTGATTTGCCCTCTGCTACTGCCAGCTCTGTCACCTGCAAGAAGTCGAAACAGAAATGAGGCCGATTGCCATTAAAATTGATGATGTTAAAAGGACAGAGCCATCCCTGCTGCCAGCAGTGTCACTTGTGGTGTGAGTTGGGAAACATGTGAGGAGTGAGACTGAACAACCCGGATACAATGGTCGTGGACATAACACAAGGAAGAAACATGCTGTCCGCTGCTGCCAGCTCTGCCATCTGCAGTTAATGAATCTGCTCTGCCATCTGCAGTTAATGAATCTGCTCTGTCATCTGCAGTTAATGAATCTGCTCTGTCATGTGCAGTTAATGAAACTGCTCTTTCTCCCTGAAGAACTTACAAACAACGCACGCATGCTGACCAAAGTGTTGCCTTTCTTTCCACCCCTACCACACAAACAAAGAATGGTACCAATAGCACTCACAGACGCAGTAATCTGGAATGCTTCTTACCAGGCAACTGAGAACCCGACTTGGCTCACAATCCGATTCCGCTCCACATGGGAAGAGGTTTCCATCCCATATCTCCTTTCCCCTCTCCCTCTCCCCTCTTCCTTTCCCTCTCCCCTCTCCCTCTCCTTCTCCCCTCGCCATCTCCCCTCACCTTTTCCTCTCTCCCTCGTCCTCACTCACTAACATTAATCCCAGGACGTACCTCGATGCATGCCTGCCTGCCTGCCTCAGCATACACCGCAACCCACCCCACTGCATCTACAGCTTCTCCTCCGCAGGCTGTAAGGGACAGGGAGGCAGGCAGCTGGGGAGATCACCCGAGCTGACCAGCGTTTCTCATGGATGGGCGTGAGGGGAGTGACGCAGATGAAGAGAGAGAGCAACATCAAGATGAACAGAGGGAAAGATGAACAGAGGGAAAGATGAACAGAGGGAAAGATGAACAGAGGGAAAGATGAACAGAGGGAAAGATGAACAGAGGGAAAGATGAACAGAGGGAAAGATGAACAGAGGGAAAGATGAACAGAGGGAAAGATGAACAGAGGGAAAGATGAACAGAGGGAAAGATGAACAGAGGGAAAGATGAACAGAGGGAAAGATGAACAGAGGGAAAGATGAACAGAGGGAAAGATGAACAGAGGGAAAGATGAACAGAGGGAAAGATGAACAGAGGGAAAGATGAACAGAGGGAAAGATGAACAGAGGGAAAGATGAACAGAGGGAAAGATGAACAGAGGGAAAGATGAACAGAGGGAAAGATGAACAGAGGGAAAGATGAACAGAGGGAAAGATGAACAGAGGGAAAGATGAACAGAGGGAAAGATGAACAGAGGGAAAGATGAACAGAGGGAAAGATGAACAGAGGGAAAGATGAACAGAGGGAAAGATGAACAGAGGGAAAGATGAACAGAGGGAAAGATGAACAGAGGGAAAGATGAACAGAGGGAAAGATGAACAGAGGGAAAGATGAACAGAGGGAAAGATGAACAGAGGGAAAGATGAACAGAGGGAAAGATGAACAGAGGGAAATACGGGGGTTGTGCAGCAGCGCGAGCACGTTTTTGTTGAATAATGGCGTCTGGCGTGAAGAGAAAACAAGAGGAAGGGAATGAGGATAAGAAATAAAGGATATAGGGGATTGTGGATGCATGAGAGGGAAAAACGAAGGTAATCAGGAAGAAAGCAAGGAAGAGAGCGAGGAAGCGAGTTGGCGGTGGGAAATACACAGGAAAGGAGAAAGAGGAACAGAGGGAAAGATGAACAGAGGGAAAGATGAACAGAGGGAAAGATGAACAGAGGGAAAGATGAACAGAGGGAAAGATGAACAGAGGGAAAGATGAACAGAGGGAAAGATGAACAGAGGGAAAGATGAACAGAGGGAAAGATGAACAGAGGGAAAGATGAACAGAGGGAAAGATGAACAGAGGGAAAGATGAACAGAGGGAAAGATGAACAGAGGGAAAGATGAACAGAGGGAAAGATGAACAGAGGGAAAGATGAACAGAGGGAAAGATGAACAGAGGGAAAGATGAACAGAGGGAAAGATGAACAGAGGGAAAGATGAACAGAGGGAAAGATGAACAGAGGGAAAGATGAACAGAGGGAAAGATGAACAGAGGGAAAGATGAACAGAGGGAAAGATGAACAGAGGGAAAGATGAACAGAGGGAAAGATGAACAGAGGGAAAGATGAACAGAGGGAAAGATGAACAGAGGGAAAGATGAACAGAGGGAAAGATGAACAGAGGGAAAGATGAACAGAGGGAAAGATGAACAGAGGGAAAGATGAACAGAGGGAAAGATGAACAGAGGGAAAGATGAACAGAGGGAAAGATGAACAGAGGGAAAGATGAACAGAGGGAAAGATGAACAGAGGGAAAGATGAACAGAGGGAAAGATGAACAGAGGGAAAGATGAACAGAGGGAAAGATGAACAGAGGGAAAGATGAACAGAGGGAAAGATGAACAGAGGGAAATACGGGGGTTGTGCAGCAGCGCGAGCACGTTTTTGTTGAATAATGGCGTCTGGCGTGAAGAGAAAACAAGAGGAAGGAAATGAGGATAAGAAATAAAGGATATAGGGGATTGTGGATGCATGAGAGGGAAAGACGAAGGTAATCAGGAAGAAAGCAAGGAAGAGAGCGAGGAAGCGAGTTGGCGGTGGGAAATACACAGGAAAGGAGAAAGAGGAACAGAGGGAAAGATGAACAGAGGGAAAGATGAACAGAGGGAAAGATGAACAGAGGGAAAGATGAACAGAGGGAAAGATGAACAGAGGGAAAGATGAACAGAGGGAAAGATGAACAGAGGGAAAGATGAACAGAGGGAAAGATGAACAGAGGGAAAGATGAACAGAGGGAAAGATGAACAGAGGGAAAGATGAACAGAGGGAAAGATGAACAGAGGGAAAGATGAACAGAGGGAAAGATGAACAGAGGGAAAGATGAACAGAGGGAAATACGGGGGTTGTGCAGCAGCGCGAGCACGTTTTTGTTGAATAATGGCGTCTAGCGTGAAGAGAAAACAAGAGGAAGGGAATGAGGATAAGAAATAAAGGATATAGGGGATTGTGGATGCATGAGAGGGAAAGACGAAGGTAATCAGGAAGAAAGCAAGGAAGAGAGCGAGGAAGCGAGTTGGCGGTGGGAAATACACAGGAAAGGAGAAAGAGGAACAGAGGGAAAGATGAACAGAGGGAAAGATGAACAGAGGGAAAGATGAACAGAGGGAAAGATGAACAGAGGGAAAGATGAACAGAGGGAAAGATGAACAGAGGGAAAGATGAACAGAGGGAAAGATGAACAGAGGGAAAGATGAACAGAGGGAAAGATGAACAGAGGGAAAGATGAACAGAGGGAAAGATGAACAGAGGGAAAGATGAACAGAGGGAAAGATGAACAGAGGGAAAGATGAACAGAGGGAAAGATGAACAGAGGGAAAGATGAACAGAGGGAAAGATGAACAGAGGGAAAGATGAACAGAGGGAAAGATGAACAGAGGGAAAGATGAACAGAGGGAAAGATGAACAGAGGGAAAGATGAACAGAGGGAAAGATGAACAGAGGGAAAGATGAACAGAGGGAAAGATGAACAGAGGGAAAGATGAACAGAGGGAAAGATGAACAGAGGGAAAGATGAACAGAGGGAAAGATGAACAGAGGGAAAGATGAACAGAGGGAAAGATGAACAGAGGGAAAGATGAACAGAGGGAAAGATGAACAGAGGGAAAGATGAACAGAGGGAAAGATGAACAGAGGGAAAGATGAACAGAGGGAAAGATGAACAGAGGGAAAGATGAACAGAGGGAAAGATGAACAGAGGGAAAGATGAACAGAGGGAAAGATGAACAGAGGGAAAGATGAACAGAGGGAAAGATGAACAGAGGGAAAGATGAACAGAGGGAAAGATGAACAGAGGGAAAGATGAACAGAGGGAAAGATGAACAGAGGGAAAGATGAACAGAGGGAAAGATGAACAGAGGGAAAGATGAACAGAGGGAAAGATGAACAGAGGGAAAGATGAACAGAGGGAAAGATGAACAGAGGGAAAGATGAACAGAGGGAAAGATGAACAGAGGGAAAGATGAACAGAGGGAAAGATGAACAGAGGGAAAGATGAACAGAGGGAAAGATGAACAGAGGGAAAGATGAACAGAGGGAAAGATGAACAGAGGGAAAGATGAACAGAGGGAAAGATGAACAGAGGGAAAGATGAACAGAGGGAAAGATGAACAGAGGGAAAGATGAACAGAGGGAAAGATGAACAGAGGGAAAGATGAACAGAGGGAAAGATGAACAGAGGGAAAGATGAACAGAGGGAAAGATGAACAGAGGGAAAGATGAACAGAGGGAAAGATGAACAGAGGGAAAGATGAACAGAGGGAAATACGGGGGTTGTGCAGCAGCGCGAGCACGTTTTTGTTGAATAATGGCGTCTGGCGTGAAGAGAAAACAAGAGGAAAGGAATGAGGATAAGAAATAAAGGATATAGGGGATTGTGGATGCATGAGAGGGAAAGACGAAGGTAATCAGGAAGAAAGCAAGGAAGAGAGCGAGGAAGCGAGTTGGCGGTGGGAAATACACAGGAAAGGAGAAAGAGGAACAGAGGGAAAGATGAACAGAGGGAAATATGGGGGTTGTGCGGCAGCGCGAGCACGTATTTGTTGAATAATGGCGTCTGGTATGAAGAGAAAACAAGAGGAAGGGAATGAGGATGAGAAAAAAAGGATATAGGGGATTGTGAATGCATGAGAGGGAAAAACGAAGGTAATCAGGAAGAAAGCGAGGAAGAGGGCGAGGAAGGGAGTTGGTGACAGAAAAAGAGAAAGTGGAACAGCTGAACACTTGGGGTGCAGCAGGTGAGGGGAAACACTTCATGTTAATCACACAATTTCTGGCACGCGAAACTGAAAGAAATAGTTTCGCGGAAAAGAAAATAACGCAAAACGATGCACCTTGCAGGATGTGTAAAGGACCTCTGGGGGCTAGCTCGCATTCGCGCGATCCGCGATTCGATCCAGAACCTGCTGAAAGCGGCTAGCCGTCTCTGAAATCCATCCTCAAGGCGGCAGCGGAGCGTACGAGCGCACGCGGGAGGCGCAATAGCCGCCGCTTCCGCCGATTCTTCCGCCTTGCAGTGAAGCCGTGATCGTTGCTTCCATATTACATTTCCAGCAATCGTGACTTCTGCAGCAAACCCATGCGCGGCCCATTTCGAGAGAACAGCGATTGCACCGTCACGCGAGCATTGGAAAATGGCTGCTGACTGTCGTCAGCGCGACTCGGAGGTGACGGGAACGAGCAGGCAAGGAAAGCTAGGTGTTGTGCCTCGCATGCAGGCACGAGCGATGCCAGATTTGGGAGAGTTTGACAGATGAAAATGAAGCAGTGCAGTTTGGCTGAGTGAGCGCAAGGCGCAATGCGCAATCAGCTGGGTGAGGAAAGCCAGCTGGTGCCTGAGGAGAATCAGTGGTGCAGTTCGGCTAAGTGAGTGCAACGCGCCAAAAGAGTTCTTGCTAGTTATATCAGCGTTTCAAATTTTAACACCAACACAACTCAACCTCACACTTCACACAGCAGCAACCGTGCACAACCCGTTAAATAAGCATTCTAATAAGGGGTAACAGAGAAAATCGTGTTTTAAATTTGCTGATTTTGTTTTCGCAGCATATTTACAACCCTTCCGAGTTTCAGGAAAATATATTGGTGTACAAATATGCATGCAATGGTATTGATGATTGAAAATGCAGAACGTTATGGACGAGGAGCTCCCTAGAGAGTACGAATTCGCCATTCTTATCTGACCTCGATGTCATTCCTGAAGCTCTCAGTTTCGGAGCTTCGCTGCCGAACCTGTCTTCCTTCGATTGCGGGAGGCACAGCGCGACCACCCTTGGGCATTTTCGGCAATGGGAGTACCCCAGAGGTTCGTCGGCGCTCCGAATGCGGTCGGGCAGGCGAAATCTATTGTTTCATGCCGTCGACTTTGTAGGAGTGGATCTCCGTTAGCGCGCAGCGGGAAACTTTCTGTCGGGGGCAGGAAACACGATAGAGTCGGGGGTAGCGAAAGACAGATTCTTTCGCATCGCTTACCCGCGAGGACCCTGCGCGAGAATCGGTTCACCAGCAAAATTTCGTTTCCATTTTCGTGGCTTCAGTAAAGATCGCGCGGGGCAGCATGCCAGTGCACGGTTCCGAATTTCCGGAGGTGCTCAGGCAGCAACCGAGAACAGTTCCTCTTCTTTTTCGACACTCCCTCCTGTGAGTGTCCCCTCCACACAGCCTCCATCCCACTCTCTCCTGTTGCTCGTTTCATCTACAAATCCGACGCATAGAAGACTCATTTTGAGTTAAGCATCCAGCTTCTTCTTGTTCTGTTGATTGAGCCTTTTTCTAGCTAGTTCAGACCTCGTCCTTAATATCGTTCTCTCGGAACCTCGTCGCTCTTAGCGTTTAGCTTTGTTTTTACTCTCCCACACAAACTCGGTTAGCTTGATGGCTTGTTCTTCTGACTTTCCGTCCTTTGCTGAGCTTGTGGCCTTCTGGGAGAAATGCGGTATTTTGATCCAAGCGAAGCGTTATGCTCCTGAATCCGTTGAATATCCTACCTTTGCAGAAGTTCTGAGCCTCTGGAAACAACGGGACGCGTTGATGCAGGCTGCGCGTCATGCCATGCTGCAGGCACAATGGGATGCTTCTATGGCCTCCTTAGCTCGCTCTCCGGCTGCTGAGGAGGAGAACGCGCGGATATTTTCTTCTGAGCAGCAGGAAGTGCCACTGGCTGACGCTGAGGCTGCACAAGAGATTTACTCACTGTTTATGGCTGCAGAGGGTGATCTCTCGGAGGATGATTCTGATCTGAGCGGCATTTGCAGCAGCAATGATGTCCACGTGTTCGGTTCTGAGACTGGCACCACGATCAGCGGCTGGTCTGAAAGCAGCTGCAGCGGTGACGCCAAGTTCTGCGGTTCTGACACTTGCAACGAAGTATTCTCTTGCAGCATGAGCAGCGATAGCAGCTGCAGCGGCCACAGCGGCTTCAGCGATAGCGGCTTCAGTGACAGCAGCAGCAGCGGCTTCAGTGACAGCAGCAGCAGCGGCTTCAGTGACAGCAGCAGCAGCGGCTTCAGTGACAGCAGCAGCAGCGGCTTCAGTGACAGCAGCAGCAGCGGCTTCAGTGACAGCAGCAGCAGCGGCTTCAGTGACAGCAGCAGCAGCGGACAGAGCTCCCAGGAGGAGCCTTCCCCTGCCAGTGCTGTCAACAGTCTCTGCTGCCATGTCTACTGCAAGCTAAACTGCTGCAACTCTCAGGGCCATGACAACAGTGACAGTGCGCTGCTGCTTGATCTGGTGCTACTCCTGGTTTCGGATTCAGTGAGCAGGAACATGGTCGCTGCTGTGAGTCTTGCTTCAAGGATGGGTCTGCTAGGTGCAGACCAGAGCTTGGTCAGGGGAACAGATGCAGAAAGTTGGAGACTACTCCCTACACGGCGTCTTAAACGTGGCAGCAAACGAGTAGCAGGGGTGCAGCCAGCTGTGGTGGACAAAACGATGGTGACTGTTTCTGTTGGAGCTCTCCAGGCCCTCACGGGAGTTTCAGCAGCACTTGGGATGAAGGAGCAGGGTGGGGTTGGAGGTGTGGTAAGTGGGGACAAGAAGCAGCCTTCAAGAGCTTTGGTTATTCGGTCTGGTGGAGGTGTCAAGAAGGGGTCAGCAGCAGCAGAATGTAAGATGCAGCAGCACGTGAGGGTTGGAAGCTTGACATTCGGAGCACAGAAATCGCCTTCTGGTCGTTTGGAATCTTCTCATGGTGGACGTATCAAGGGAGGATCGGCAGCCTTACAGAGAAAAAAGAAGCAGCAGCAAGTTGGGTTGGCAGTATCACAGGGCAAGAAGAAGCAGCAGCAAGCTGGGGGTGTGAGGGTTGGAGGGAGGGTGTATCCTTCAAGAGTGACAAGGTTAGCGGCAATAAGGCCTCCTCGGAGGCCATAGGGGCTGGTGTATTGAGATAATAATGGGATAGGTACATTAGATGAGAGACATTTCTTAGTTGTAGCTGTGTACTATAGTTTAATATTTATCTAAAAATGATTTGTTTTAGAATGTTGGGTTCAGCTAGTATTGTGCTGGTAAATGCCTTGTTCTGTGGCAAGAGGCGTCCACCCACATTTAGCCTTAAACTTTTTAGAACACACCTAGGCTCGCAAAGGCTTTTACCATCCAGCAATGCTTTCTATTGGTGTCCCTTTGCATTTGGCTACAATTGGCATTGCTCTGTGATGCAATTAAGAACCAGTTTGTCTCTTGCTACATTGCAAAGTTCATCTCCATGAAACCCTGTCTGTCCCCCTTTGCAGTTGCATCTAACTACAAATGCTACACCATTTATCTTATACAACACCACAAACACAACACAATCTGCAATCATGGCCCACCCATACGACCAGTTTGATTCATTATTTATTCAGAAGTCCACCATTCACAGACCAATCAACTAGTCAACAACGGGTACAGGCAAGGTTACAGGTCCCTCTGATTCCACTCCACTCATTCTTGTGGAAACTATGAGGCAAGAATGGTTGGATTGAAAGAAGCAAGGGTACAAATAGGAAACCCTAGTTGGGGTTGTACCCCATATTGGCTACCCCACTACAGCCTACAAACATATAGCACATTTTATATTTTGACACACCCCCATAGGCAAAGTGGGAGAGAACAAGGGGTCACAAGACCAGTCAAGCAAAGCAAAGAACAAGCTCAGGGTGGATCACAATGTCACCACACTCTCTGAGCACAAGCAAAGGCCACAAGGCCAGTTCACATGCAGAGTTATATAGGAGGACCCAAGTAGTACAGTGATCAAAGCCTAGCAAGTGCAAGCATGCAAGGACATATATATAGATCACAGTACAAGCAAAGTCAAGAAGTAAGCAAGTGAGAGAACGTGGACACAAGGCCTAACGCAGTGCAGTGCCGCTGATGATCACTAGGCGGAAGCGCCTTGGTGAATATATCAGCAGTGTTGGCCTTCGAGTCCACGTACGCAAGGCGAAGCTGGCCACGCTGCTGCAGCTCTCGAGCCAGAAAGTAACGGAGAGCAATGTGCTTCGTTCTGTGCTCCAGTCTGTGCTCCTGACACAAGGCAAGAGCTGCCTTGTTGTCGCCGTACAGAACTGGAGGAGAACGAGGCCGCTCACCCAGGTCAGTCAGCAGGTAGGTGAGCCAGCATAGCTCCTGTGCAGCCATGGCCGTGGCGTAGATCTCAGCCTCACAACTAGAGCCGAGAACAGAAGAAGAGCGAGTGGAACGCCAAGAGACAGAACCAGAGCCAAGGCTGAAAGTGTAACCCTGTGACGACCGCTGCGTAGCCAGGTCGTCAACCCAAGAGGCGTCTGAGTGTCCAGTGAGGACAACCGAGCCCTGTCCTCCAAGCACCAGCCCCATGCCTGATGTACTGCACAAGTAGCGCAGCACCCTCTTAGCAGCCTTCCAGTGCTCTCGCCTGTGTCTCCCAGGTGCGACGTAGCGAGCTAGGATGCTAAGAGGGTACGCAAGGTCAGGTCGAGTGCAGGTCATCAGGTACATGAGGCAGCCCACAAGCTCTGGGTACGGACCACTCGGCTCTACGGACTCGTCCGAAGGTGGAGCTGAGAGCGAGTGGCTGGTAGACAGAGGAGTGGACTGAGGTGAGGAGAACTGGAAGCCGAAGCGCTGAAGGACCTGCTGCACCATGTGTGACTGAGTCAGGGTGATGGTGCGGCGTGCTCTGTCCCGGGTGATCTGCAAGCCAAGGTAACTGCGCAGCTCACCCAGGTCTGTGCACGTGTGTCTCTTCTGCAGCTCCGACTTCACAAGAGCAAGTGCCTCAGTGTCAGCAGTAGCAAAGACCAAGTCGTCGACGTACACGAGGATGTAGAACGGCGGCAGCGACGTGTCTGTGCGCAGGAACAGTGAAGGGTCTGCAGTGGAGGGAGCAAACCCAAGAGCCGCAAGTGTCGTCCTTAGTGTGTCGTGCCACTCACGTGGCGCCTGGCGGAGACCGTAGACTGGCCGTCGGAGGCTCCACTGGGTACCAGGAGGGAAAGACCCAGTGAAGCCAGGAGGACGGCGCAGCCAGATCTCCTCGTGCAGGCTGCCCTGCAAGAAAGCCGTGCTGAAGTCAAGAGAGTGAAGCTCGTAGTCACGCTGAGCGGCAACGTGCAGCAGCACCCGAAGAGTGGCCATCTTCGGGGTAGGGGAGAAGGTCTGAAAGAAGTCAACTCCCTGTCGCTGACTGAAGCCTCTAGCAACGTAACGAGCCTTGAAGACAGGCGGAGAACCCGGCGGCCGCTTCACCCTGAAAATCCACATGCCATCGACGATGTTCGCCCCAGGAGGGGGAACATCGTCGACGTAGGTGCCTGTGGACTTCCAGGATGCCATCTCTGCGTCCATGGCTGTCTGCCACTGAGAGGAGTAGGGACCCGAGACCGCCTCTGTGTAAGAGCGGGGGGTAGGGATGTCAAGTGCATCCGGGTCTCCCTCAGGGGCAAGCAGCCAGGCCGTGAGATGAGGTACAGCAGCCGCAAGACAGTCAAGGTCCTCCTGCCTGTCCTCAAGGACGTCCGTGCCAAGAGCACACTCAGACTCAGACGTACGGAGGACAGACAGACTCAGACTCAGTAACAAGACTGGCAGTGTAGTCGAGACGACAGGTAGCAGCAAAGTCAACCAGCTCAGCGACCAAGGCAGACGCAGACGCAGACTCAAAGGACGGGTCAGTGACAACAGTGGCTAACAGACGCGTGACAGTAGGGTGCTCAGCACGAAACTGGTCAGACTCAGGGTCCGGAACGTCAAGTAGAGAGGACGCAGGGGGAGACAACAGAGGAACACGCTGCTGAGTGGGAGAAGGACGTCTG